ATATCCGCAGTCAGCCCCAGTCAGCTTCGGTCAGCCATACGAGTTGGCAGAACAGGGAAAGAAGCAAATAAAAGAAACAAGGATAAAGAGGTCAATAAGATACAATAAGCGAATGAAACAAGGTGGGACATACCCTTGATAGGCTGCTCGGTGAAAAAATCATGGCCCATGGGTTCGATAGATGGATGTAGATTGGTAGCCTCAGCCAGGACTGCAGGCTGATCTTGAAGAATCAATCTCCCGGGAAGGTTCGGCCACTTGGCGCGCAACTCGCTGAGGTCGTGGCCTCTTCCACCGCCCACGTCGACCAGAAACACGTCATGCTCACCTATCGGGGATGGAGACATGAGTTGATCCACCGGGTAGAAGCCTGGGTCCATCCAGCTGGCACGACCCTGGTGGTAGACTCCCATGAGAGTGTTGAATTGCGCGCTAATGACTGGGTTATGAGCGAGAAACTCAAAAAACGAGTCGGTCGTGCGAAGGACCATTTGAAGGGGACAGTGACGGCCGTCGGAGGGATTTTGGTAGCCAGTTTGGCGAAGAAACTCAGGTATACCATTGATCGAGGGGTACATGGAGCCCGCGCTATTTATATTAGTATGCAATAGTACAGTATCATGAAATTGGAGAGGACCAACGCTGCGAGGATAGAGTCAGAATATTTCCTGTGGGCGAGTGTGAAGGAAAACCCATTAGTAGTGTATTCGCCGCGTTTTGTTTCAACGACGGCGTGGATAGCCCCCAGATGCCTCATAATACGCCCTGTAGAAGAGTTACTCTTAATTAAACAAGAAGCTAGAAACTAAGTCCACTCACCCAGCAGGACAGGGTCCGCTCCGGTGGCACTGGCCAGTTCCGGGATCGACTTGGGCCGCTTGGTCTCAGCTAGCAGGCGAAATATGCCCAGGTCGATGGCAATATTAATGGCAGCCCATCCACTGGGCTACTAAGATAGTGAATAATTGTTTCTCTCCCCTCTATAATTCACGGATAGTACCTAGAAGAACTTACGTTCCGAAAGCTCTGCCGATGGATTGTTTCTCGTGGAGTTTCGAGTGCGGCCAACAGCGACTCCGCAGCGTCTGCCAATTGAGCTCGCACGCCTGACTGTCCCAACATAAAGGCCTGACCGTGTGTGTTGATCTTTGAGATCAGACGTGGTACCTGGTCGGGGGCATTTGGGGCAATGGCGATGCGGTCGATCCCGTCGCTGTCAATCACATGGTCGTTCTGGTGCACGCTCATGTCGTTCTTTAGCTGTCGAGGGGATGCAAAAACGTAAAATCTAAGGGAGAATACGGAGCTTCAAGAAGGAGGTGGCTTGATTGATATAAATGTCTCAAACGAACTGTAGCCGTCAATATACCCATGACAAGGTTATGGACCCCCTCTTATAGGGTTAGGTGGCACGCTAGAAAGTGGAGAGCACACGACATGATGCACAGGTCAACAAAATCGTCACGAAGATTGGTCAGTGCAATGAATAGGATTCAAGAAGTGGTGGGGAGTTCAGATGTCCGTACCAACGGAATCTCCATGTGCATATGTGTAACACTGTCCGAGCGTCTGATTTATCACTTTTCCAATAATCATGAGAGATCCGCGAATTATTGCATACTAGAGGGGTCTACGGGCAGGGGGCAAACACCGCCCGAACAGAACAATCGAAACACATGCGCGATCCTAACCATAATATTCCAATATTTGATATCGTTTCTAAATAGTGTTATCTGTTGGGACAGATATATCTCCGTCTCCTGGCTGACTAGTGCGGTAAATCATTTTTGGTCTAGCGGTTAGTGCCTCGACATTATTCTATATATAGATTTATATAATACATTAATAATTGCTTTATTTTATAATACATTATAAGTTTTACATGCAAATCAGTGGCAGGAGACGCACGTTTCGAGCGTTCCGTTCAGGCAGTGTTTTCTGCCTGCCCGGAGACCTCTCTAAACACCAAATATTCGGAAGTCCATCATTTCCTTTGAGATACTCCAGCCTAACCGCAAAGTCAAATCACTAATATCTCAAACCTACTAACCCATTGCTTTATTGATTCTATGGCTGTCTCCTGTTCGGTAGATGATGAACATGAAAGCCATGTACAACTGCGCACACATAGCTAGAACATTCCCTTCAGATATTTTATTATCCGAAATTCCTTTGGCCTGATAGTTGTATATACTAAGTGACTGCAGGGGTCTCCTAGTGCTGCTACGGGAATTCCACTTAGCAGGCAATGCATCCAACTATTGCGTCCTACCATGTTCAGCCGACAACGGTCCCCTTGCAGAGCTGTGTACCACCCTCAACAACAAGCAGAAATTCTGCTAAACAAAGTACTATTTTTTGTGTATTGCATTGGAATGCCATGTGTCAGATCGTGATTGATGTAACTGAAGATACTTTGTCCTGTGTGACTGATTCATAGTAGCGCTGGCGGTACTTTACATTGATATCAACCAGCGAGCAGAGGTTTACATTCAGAGATATCCACATGCTGTAGATGTGCTGATGATAGAAGTAGTATATATCTTGTTACGTTTTTATGAACAAGAGCTGACATAACTATCACATCCATCATGACAATTAGCTACCCCCTTTATCTGCCCAGACTATCTGATAGGAGATGCCATAAAATTTCCAAGAGCTGAGTGTTCACTTTGCTTAAACTTAATCGGGCGTACCTACTCCTGAGCCAACCCCGTAATTCTCGCTTTGATGAACAAGTTTCCCTTCTCAGGATACGGCGCCCCAAAGTCTCGGGCGAATTCAATGGTCTCCTTGGGAGTGTCGACCAGCTCCATATCAAAATGGCGCATAAGAGAAGCGATAACAATGAAAAGCTCGGCAATAGCGAGTCTATATATTGAATAAGTAACCATTGGATCCGCTCATCTGTAGGCATGTTAACTTACTGTATGCCAAGGCAAATCCGAGCACCCTTGGAAAAGTTCACCAGGTACCGGTCTAATCGCTCCCCCTTTTCGGCAGCTCGAATCCAGCGTTCCGGATCGAAGTCGTGGGGGTTGGGGAAGATCTTGGGGTTCATGAGGATGAAGACGTTTGATGAGCTAAACAGGCTCTGTTGGTGTGGAGGTATTAGTAGACTGACGTCAACAGTATTGGGAAAGACGATACGTACACCACGGGGAATGACATGTTCCTTATAGACCAGTGCCTCTGTGGGAGCTACTCTGGTCATTCTGGACGATACACCTGTTGCAAGACGCATGGATTCGTTGATGACACCAGACTGCATGTCGCAAAGTTTAGTATCCAGTGTCGATAAATGAACTCGAAAATGAATATGTTACTCACCAGATAAGGCAACTTCTCCAACTCCGTGCGACTAACCCGCATATCAGGTGTAGGCATAATGGTCTTCAGTTCCTCTTTCAACTTGAGCCGAACATGCTCTTTTGTGAGCAAGTGATAGGTCCCGACAGAGAGCGCCCGCGCTGTGGTTTCTGTTCCCGCAATAGCCAAAGAAAGCCCCTCCTCCATGAGCCTTTTAGGCGTCCGCATATGTTCAGGCATACGAGGCGCAGCAATAGCATCCAAGATCGCACCTTTGCTATTACTGACCTTTTCATCTTCCTTCACGGGAGTCTGGTTCCTCTCTAGCGCTGCCGCGCTTCGCGCATACAAATCCTCTTTCTCCTCCGCTAATTTCACTGCTGGCTCACTGATCAGGCGCAGCAACCCGCGCGGCAGCAGGCTAAAGACAACCTTGATGAAGGGAAAGAAATTGAGTATGTGCATCCCTTGCAAGACCGCGTTGGCGGCTTCGCGTACGCTTTCGTTGAACCCCTCCGCGTCTAGGTTGCCCGGGTTGAACCCAAAGGCATATTGGTGGATGATGTCCGCAGTCAAGCCTGCAAACCCGGCGTCCAAGCTCACTACACTTTTGTTCTGGTACGCCTCAGTGTAGGCTTTGATGATCTTGTCGAGGCTGTCGTGGATGAGATACTCGATGTTGGAGATGGCTTGTTTCGAGAAGAATTTATTGAGAGGGGCGCGCCGTTGACGATGTGTCTCAGGTGTGACACTCGAGAAGAGTGCGCCGTCGATGTCGAACTGGGCTAATTGGACAGGGTCTTTCTCTCGCCGGCGAGCAGGAGAAGTATAGATTTCGTTGTAGTAATCTGGATCATTGATGTGGACTTCATCGGGGTTGATGCGAATGACCGGGCCTGATTGAAGATATGGTCATGAGGGGAAGACACAGAATAGTTGGAGCAAAGTAGTAGGACGTACCATATATCTTATGCATGCGTTCGATTTCCCACACGAACTTGCCACCCTTGATAACATTGTAGTAAAACTCGTAGCCGTAGGTGATAGCTGCTAGCTTCGGGCCCGGAATTTTGCGAAGTGGATGAAGGCACAGCCTATATACGCTGCGTAAAGCTTGGTAAGTGAGAAGAGCTATGCCTAGCCATGCGTATACGAACATGGTGGTGGTTGAGGGGAGGGTTAATAGTGGTTAGGGTCGTTGTCAAAGGTCAAAATTGCACCCAGGACACAGAATTGAGAGCAGAATCGAGCAGGGCTATAAATGATGGGCACCCCCGGAGACTCTGTCGACTGGTTGAATCAGTCTGCCGTGCCAGAGGGGTACAGCATGAGTCGCTAATGCAGAGCATCTGCAACTCCATTGTTAGCGTACGAACGATATATGGCGCCGTTGCGGGTCCAACTCCTCTTCCCCGCTCGTCTGGCGGAGGGAAGGCGCTCGGACAGCTAGCCACGACCAGAGGTCTTCTGGCTAATTGGCACATCTGGAAGATTGACCAGTCGTCTGTCCATTTCTCATCTTGTTTAGGCAGCGAGTTGCAAGAGGACCATGCAGGACCGGGCCGCCAGGCTCAACCCGTCCCAGCAAAGGCTAATATATTTCATGAGCCCAATGAACAGCTGAGAATTTGTAAAGTATATTACTAGTAAGACAAGGAAGTTCTCACTTTCCTGACACAGAGACCGTAAATCTAAGTACTAACGCCTGTACCATCGGTGTCTTTTGTCTCCAGGAAATGTCCATATCCGATCTGAGGGGCTTCGTCGAGTACTTCCTCAGGTGGCCAGACAATTCCTCCGCTCTGCTTCACCCAAGTGTCCACCTTTTCTCCAACATGTGTAGATCTAACATACTTCAGGCTGTTTGGCCCTTCCACATAGCCATGACACGCAACATGAGTCCCATTAGCCAGCTGACGTTCGTCTTTGTAGCAAAGTGTCACATGCGGTCCCAGGGGGTCTTTCTGAATGCGCCCTTTGATATTGGTTGTAGGATGGACTAAAGATCTATATGATCATCAAAAACTTAGATCAGAATTAGCTAGATGAATATGTATACCGAATCAGAATGGCCTTTGGGTATATCTTTCTGTCCCGTGCAGTTCTATAGGCCACTGCTACCAGTGCCTGGAGCGTCTCTTGCGTATCGGGAAGGCGGTTTTTATAGAAGAAGTACCTCACCATGTTGATCGTAGACATTTTTGTGGTTGAGCGTAGAGTCTCGTCAAACAAAGAGATGCAACGAATCCCATAAACACCATGTAAGGACAATTGCATCCTGTTGATATCCGTGATCTAGCTTGGTAGTCTTGCCTATGCTACAAGCAAGACCGTACTTGCACCTTCCCAATTGGGGGTGATCGTACCAACGACAATGATGACAGCACATCTGGTTACTCATCTACAGTTCTGTTGCATCTCAAGCAACTATTCGGAGGCGAAGCCATAGCGTCAGATAATGCAGCGAGTCCGGCTAGGCAAGCTCCCGAAGTTCTTAGGCCCTTTGTACTGGTCGTGAAACCAGGTGTAGCTTAAGGTACAAGGCCATGAACCAAGCGTACGCTGCAAGCTTCAGCTCCAGTGTTTAGGTACGGTAAATACTCATAATTGGCCGTCATACATGTCAGCACTCGTAGGTCACATGACATTGATAGCGACGGAATTATGCTTCCTCTCCAACGTCATCACGAACGAACTCCTGAATATCAAGATTTCCTGGCTCGACAAAATCTCGAGCCATATCTATCATAATGAAACGATATGTTTTCCTGAAGAATAACCTGCGCTATCCCTGTCGAGGAACTATTGTTCCCTTATGTCGCCCGAATTTCCGTTGGCATCAACAGCCGCCTCGACGGCGAAATGTGGCCGTCAGAACCGTCATGACTTCTACCACCGACGACACTCCTTACTTTCAATATCAGCCTATCGAGCAAGTTGAAAGGCTAGAGAGGTACAGAAGAGGAGGGTATCATCCAATATATGTCGGAGACGTACTGAATAGTCGCTACAAAGTGATAGACAAGCTGGGACATGGGACGTTCTCTACAATCTGGCTTTCACGAGATGAGCAAAAGACAGCCTATGTGGCTGTCAAGGTTAGCACCGGAGATGCTTCTACTCACGAAGCAAAGATACTAGGTATGCTCAAGGATCGCTGCCTGGTCCATCCTAACGGTCGTCCCTTAATCCCCGTCATCCTGGACGAATTCCAGATTGAGGGCCCAAATGGGCATCATAAATGCATTATCACAGCACCCGCTCAGAGCAGTGTATCCGCAGCATTATTCTGTTGCTACTTTCAAATAGAGACGACTCGTGTCTTAAATGCTGAACTGGCCCTGGCTGTTGCATTTGTTCATGCTCAAGGCTTTGTTCACGGAGGTAAGTGAAAAGATAATCGTTCTGAATGCTTCCTAAGTATATGAGGGAGGAGCTATGTCTTGAAAGCACCGCTAAAGATACACTCCAGATATCCATCTTGGAAATATCCTGTTAAACCTACCTACTAGCCTTGACAAGCTGTCAGTCCAGGACTTCTATGAGCAGTTCGGTGAGCCCTATACGGAACCAGTTGTGCGACTCGATGGACAGCCTCTTCCTCCGGGCGTCCCTACTTGTGGGACTTTGCCAGCCTGGTTAGGGAAGCGAGCAAAAGATATTCTGCCGTTTGAGGCCCAGCTCCTCCTTAGCGACTTCGGCGAGAGCTTCTGCCCTCTCGACCCTGAGCAGCGGCGACGTGGGCAAGACTGTCCCTCGCCGCTTCCAGTCATACCGCCTGAAGCCTACTTTGAACCAGACAAGCCTCTTTCATTTCCCTCGGACATCTGGAGTCTTGCATGTGCTATGTACCCCTTATTTGGCCTGCGATGGCTATTTGATGCCACACTCGCCACTCAACATGACATAGCCTCTCAACAAGTAGATACCATTGGAGATATTCCGCTTGATTGGTGGAATACATGGGAGAAGCGCCATGAGTATTTTGAGGAGATCGAAAGGCCTAACAAAGATCGGTATGTCTGGCCATCTCTTGAGCAAAGATTCGAGAAGGACATACAGGCCGCACGACAGAGGGATAATGTGTCTTCTTTCGATAACGAGGAGAAGGTGGCCATTCTGAGCATGCTTCGCTCAATGCTGGCAATGAGGCCTGAGAAGCGAGCAACAGCGACGGATGTACTGAGCTCAGACTGGATGGTGACTTGGGGATTGCCAGCTGTGAAGAGGGCCCGTAATAGCCGGCAAACAGGAGGTCCATCGCTTTGCAAAAAGGCTGATGCAAGGTCCTCTTTGGTTGAACTAGCTAGCTCAGTAGCTCTTGAGCGCACCTATTCCTAACCTTGAGCAACCAGAAGGAATGGTGTAACACTCCATGCAAGAGGCGTTGGCCTTCATATACTTGATGATTCTTTATAATGTCCAATATGATCTAGCTTGAAAATCGCAATTTCATGGTCTGCGAAACCTCTGAGTAGTGAACAGCCAAGAAAGGCATCCTTTCATTATTTTCATCTCCCTTGAGGGTAGTAGTTTGAAGATCGCGAACTCTGTCATTGGTCGAATGATGGCTGACTTTCATCGGGAATATGTGATGAAAGATGACTATAGAATATTATTGTGCTACACTCATCGGAGAAGCATTATTAGAGTGAATACCTGCACTCAGATCGAATATATTCCTAAGTGCATGATGTTCATCCAATTTTCCTGACATTGCCACTATGAGTACCTTTCAATTTCATTGGGATTTCGGGTAATCTGAGCCCATGTAGCAAGAATATTCTTTTCTCCCTATTTTCCTTCGCTCTGAAGGTATCCCGTGGTGGCGATGAAAGCATGCAAAAAGTTAAACTGATCAAACAAAGTTGAAGACTCAGGAACAGACTCGTCTTAAATTTGACTGTGAACGTTGAAAATGCAATCGGCAGCACAGCCTAGTAACCAAATTAGTTTTTATCGCCCCTCAGCTCTGATAGACTGGCCACAGTGGAAGACTGCGAGAGGTTGAGACGGGCTGGCCGAGGGACTAAAACGGTCTAGAAGCCATTCTGAAACAGCCGACGGAGTGACCTGTCATCTTTGCCCCGGTACCAGTGTTAAGGATGCTTGTTACTGCAACGGGCTGTCCGATCAAAAACTCCGATCTTCCGCAGATAGATCTTCACTGCTTTCAAATATCCGTCTTTACTACAATATGCGATACACTATACAAAATGTTGTGGTAGTCCAAGTAACGTGGAGCCGAGGTGTATTCCGACTCTACATCTTATCATACCACACAACGCGGCCGAATCTAACGCCTCCAATCCCACGCACTAATCACAATATCGACTAGTCCAGGGGCAGCCGTCTGACGGGCTGACAGGTGTGCATAACATGGTTTCAGTGAGATTGATTGCAGCAGATTTCAGGGGTGAGAAGTGGCACTGGAACGGCAAATCAGCCTTACAACCTAACAACCTGACAAGGTTCAATTTTAGCGAAAGAAAGAAAAGACAATGCTTGAAGGGGTATAGTAAGCGACCGATTTATTACAAAGTAGATGCACTAGAAGTCAGCCACACAATCAGAACCACAACCCCGATATTCTGGTTAGTTTTGTGCCTGAATGAAATGTAGGGAACTGGTTCAGTTGTAACCAGGGAAATATATTAGCCAACTTGAAAGGAAGACAAGAAACCCGACCTGGAACCCCCTGAAAGGATTGTCTGGTTCCAACGGTCGCGGGCCGTGGAAAGTACGAGAGGAAGGAGAGAGAGGGAGAGAGGAAGAAGGGCAGAACAATGCCCTAGACTGGCCGAAAGTAGGCAGTAGGGCTTTGCCGGTATGGTTTGTGTGACGTTCCTCGTAACGTGACCGCCACCCTGACTAGTAATCATTCTAGTGATTCTACGTACTCACTTCACGCAATTCAACTTCCCAACTCAAAACTAGTGCGATGAACTAAATTTCACACCAGTGGGGGCTGTCTCTTCCCTTCAGAATTCAGATCGATCGCATTCAGGGACGCTGATAGGGCTTAGAGAGGCCTATAGTGTTCCCTATTATATCATCGCGACGAACAGAGACACCACCAGCAGTCGCCAGTCCGACAGCAACTATGGGCCCGGGGAATGATCGGCGGATTCCAACCAGGCCAGCCCCCAAAAAGAGGATGACTCCATTATTGCACGCCAGTGACTTCAGCCCGACTGAAACATGCTCGCGTGGGTTGCTCCCCTCGATTTTCCCTCTGGCTTTCTGACACTCGCGTCTTTTGACATTCCTTCGCCTGGCTTGTCGTTGTTTCTCTCCTTCATCGGGCCTTCGGCCTGTCCCCCCCCTTGACAGCGTTCTACGCATTTCATTTCCGATGCCTGTCCCTCTCGTTTCTTTTTTCTCTTTCTCTTTCCCACCTATTCCCAATCCTTTGACAAAAATAATACGTCCGTTCGCTGCCGCTCTAGTTCACCAACTAACGTCTCAAGTCCTGGTCCAGTCCATGCGGTTTTACTTTCGCTCGACCCACCCGCTCTCCACACGAACCAGTGGACTCCAACCCTCATTCACCCAGTGATTGTCAGATCCTGCCTGGACTGTGCAAAGCGATCTTACGTCCCTGGAAGTTACGCCGACCAATTGCGACATCGCTCGCTAATTGGAGCTGCAGGGCAGCTTCTGGCCTTACTTTTTAGACCGTCTCTTTCCCTAATTTATTCCCGATGCCATTCTCAAAATTCATGTCCGGCAGACCTGGTATCACGGAGAAGCGGCTGTCGGCTCATCGCTTCCAGCAGCTTCCCGACATGGCCCCGGACAACATAATGAATCCCAACGACGTCACTATTGACATCCCCTTGAACCCGGTTCCCAGTCGGAATCAGACCGGCGCTCGCAAGACAAGTAGTAATGTGGGAGGATCGCCGAATCCGTATCAACCACCCGGCGATGACAAAGGCATTGACGGCGAGAAGGAGGGTCTGGTCGCGCCAAATCCCGGCATGCGCAGACGCATCGACGAAGGCACCGGACGTTCCCTAGAAGACCCCGAGGATGGCACCGTCACTCGCATGGGCCGCTTCTACCAGACGATTCTCAACTACTCTGTTCTCACTCGCTACTTCATCTACGTCGCCCCACTCGCAATTCTCCTCGCCATCCCAATTATCGTGGGAGCAACGGTCGCGCAGGACGCGACTATCGGCGGAGTTACACTGCCGTGGTTCTGGTTCTGGATTGAGATCGTCTGGATCAGTCTGTGGTTGTGTAAACTTGCGGCCAAACTCTTGCCGTACATCTTTCAGACCCTAATCGGGTTTGTGAGTTCAGGAACTCGCAAATATGCTCTCATTCTACGCAAGTTGGAAATGCCAATTGCAACCGTGCTGTGGTGCGTAGTTTGCTTGGTTACCTTTTTGCCTGTAAGTCTAGTCTGATTCCATTATACGTGCCATCCACTAACTTTTCCTCCAGGTCATGACGCAAAATCCCCATCAGCAAGCCAAGGGCGATACCTCTACCAAATCCTGGGAGAAATCCATCAAGAACATCCTGTTTGCCCTCTTCGTCTGCAGTTTGATCTTCCTGGCTGAGAAAACCATGGTTCATTTGATCTCGATCAGCTACCACCGCAAGCAATTCGATGCCCGCATCAAAGAATCGAAGCGCAATGTGTATCTGGTGGCTCTGCTATTCGACGCCTCGCGCCACATGTTCCCCATGTACTGCAAAGAATTCCAAGAGGAAGACGCGGCCATTTCCGACTCCATTCTTCGCTCCGCAGCCATCAAGACCCGCACTGGCAGCTCATCAGCGCCTCTGCGCCTCATCCGAGGCGTGGGCCAGAATGTCCACCAATTCAGCAACAAAGTCACGGCGGCTTTTGGCGACGTGGCCCATGAATTGACTGGCAAGCAAGTTTTCAACCCCACTTCCACTCGGTCCGTCGTCACCCAGGCTCTGGAACACAGACGGACGTCTGAAGCGCTCGCGCGGAGAATTTGGATGTCTTTTGTCATTGAAGGCCGCGATGCTCTGTACTTTGACGATATTTGTGAGGTCCTGGGAGCTGGCATGGAGGCTGAAGCCGAGGAATGTTTCCACATGCTGGATCGCGACGGCAACGGGGACATCAGCTTGGAAGAGATGATCTTGGCCATCGGTGAAGTCCGCCGCTTAAGAAAGTCGCTGAACAACAGTCTCCACGATGTTGACCAGGCAATACACGTTTTGGACAACCTTTTGCTGACCGTGGCGGGTATCATTGCTATTCTGGTTTTTGTTTCTTTCGTGACAAGCGGCTTTGGTACCGTTATCGCCGCGGGTGCCACTTCTCTGCTTTCTCTCAGTTTCGTCTTCTCGACCACCGCTCAGGAAGTGCTGGGTTCGTGTATCTTCCTCTTCGTCAAGCATCCCTTTGATGTGGGCGACCGTGTGGAAATCAGCGACAAGCCGTACTTTGTCGAGCGCATTTCATTGCTCTTCACCGTGTTCCGAAATGTCAACGATCACCGTATCACGCAAGTTCCGAACGTCGTCCTCAACACCCTATGGATTGACAACTTCACCCGTGCCAATGCGATGCATGAGCGCCTCACCGTCCCCGTCAGCTTCGAGACCACCTTTTCCAACGTCCAGCTTCTCCAGGAGGAGATGGAGAGCTTCGTGCGCGACAAGGACAACTGCCGCGACTTCCAGCCAGAGGTCACCATCGATGTGGTTGGTCTGGGCGACATGGACAAGATGGAGCTGAGTGTCTTAATCTGCCACAAATCCAACTGGTCAAACGAGGCTGTCCGAGCTGCCCGTCGCTCGAAGTTCATGTGCGCGTTGATCTCCGCTGTGCGCAAGGTACCTATTCGCGCCCCAGGCGCCAGCGACGACGATGACAAGACCGAGAAGGATGACAACAAGTCGGATGCCGGACACGAAGACCAAACTCTCCCCGTCCGCCAGGTTTCCATCGCCAGCGAAGGCATGCGTCGGGCTAACACCACCGCTGGCGTCTCTTACACCGAATCCCGCTCGACTGGCTTCGACATCGGCAATTCCCCACAGTCGCTGCAGCGTCGTGGCATGGGCGCCTCCAGCTCCTACAGCGAAGGACTCACCGCAGAGCACGCAGCCCGGTCGCAGGACGGCTCCCGCGACGGTCACGAAGTCGACCACTACCAGACCCCCGTGGGATCCCCCGGTCAGGAGCGCCAACTCAATGTGACCTACGGACTCATGACCCGCGAACCGTCAACGGGTCGTCGCAAGGAGGGCCGCACTTCACACGTCGAGCCTGAACCCGAGCCCCAGCCCGTGGCTGCCCCTCGAGGCGATGTCCCGGTGCTCTCTGAACCAGTCCCTCCCCGTCATCGCCAGGAGGCGCAGCCCACGCTGCCCCAGGTCGCAGTGCCCCAGCCGCCTCAGCAGCCGCCCGAGTACTACAACTACCCGGGACAATACTACGACCCAACGGAGGACCCCTACGACCCAAACCAGCCGTTCGAGCTTCCGTCAATGCACGAGCAGCAGACGCCAGGTGGACGGGAGCACCATTCGACACACCTGACAGAAACTGAGCCAGGTCGATATGTGCCGCGACGGCCGTACGAGGGAGCGGGTAACCAGTAGCCATGAGTGATGATGATTTCTTCCGTTCTTCTTTTTCTTTGCAAAAAACGGCCACTTAGATTGTTGCATATGATGTATTATTAGTATTTTATGAGTGGACTGATCTATTAGCATGTAATTCGCAATGATATCGTACATTGACCTGTTATACAGAATTTAGTATCACGTATTCATCATGAGACTTGCTCCCCACATAGAAAGAGAATTCTAAAGAAATTGGAAGAGACAGCAAGACTAAAACTTGGTCTCCTTCCACGGATACCCAACGGTATCATCCTTCCTCACCCAAATCTTCGTCTTCCGTTTATTCACCACATGCTCCACAAACGCCTCGCGGGTATACTGCGCCTTGAACTTGCGAATCCACCTGGGATCCCACAACTCACTCGCAATGCCCAAATCCTTACAACACCGCACCAACGCATTCGACCGACATCCCTCCGTAGCAGTGGGGATTCCATCCGGGGAGAAGTAATCCTGTTCGCCGCGAGCAACTGAAACCAACCTACACCAACACACAATAACCAAATTAGCCTTATCCCCACTCACATACCCATATCACACACACCCGCACCCACCCAGGGAAAGGAAATGGAAAATACTAACCGCCCATTACAAACAAGCGCATACTCCCTAGTCACCATCTTCGGCGTAACAATACTCTCACTCCTCGGGACAAGACCCCATCCACCGGGTCCAAACGCCTTATTCAGTATCCGTCGGTACTTGATCTCGGGGAGGTAGAGGATGCCGTCGGGTTTGATTTCAACTTCTTCTGGGTCTGTCGGGGCGAGCAGGATGTCGGCGCATTCTTTCGGAAAGGGGGTTGCGCTGAGCCCGTGGAAGGAGCGCGTCCAGTCGATGCGGTCTTCCGTTGGGTTTGTGGGCGAGGGAGGGGTGTCGAGGAGGTCTTTAAGGGTGGGGGTGGTTTTGGGGGTGGAGGTTGAGGAGGTAGATGTAGTGGTGGTGGGCTTGGGTGTTGTTGATGTTGTGGAGGTGGTGGCGGGTTTTGCGGTGTTGTTGTTGGTGGTGGTGGTGGATTGGTAGCGGGTTGTGGTGGTAAGGGATTGGCGGAGGGTTTTGCTGAGTTGGGGACCGCGCAGGGAGCGCGTTAATAGCGGGAGAGACATTGTAGAGGGGTGTGGGGAGGTGTTGTGGTTGGGGATGTGGTGAGAAGGTGCAGCGGGAAGAGAAATGAAGTCAGAGCTGTATAGTGTCACGTGATTACAGAGTAGATAGCTCTGGGGAAGAAGGATGGAGGATAAGTGGAGAGTCTTAGTAGTTCTCTTCTATTGTACAAATGGTCTGTGGTATCGGTATCGGTATCATTTAAGCATCCTTGGTTTGTGTGCGCTCGTCGTTGCCCTGACGTTTCCAGCACTCGCGGAAGGTTTCCATCTGATGCAATTTCGTGAGTGAGGGTTGCGAGATGATCATGGATCAGATGGGAACAGTATACCTCACTCTGGCACTGGCGCCAGTCTTTCTTTTCGAACCAGCAGTCGTTCATTTTCATTTGCTCCGCTGGAATTTCCCTTAGCAGTTGTTTATGGATTAGGGAAAAAAGATGGGAAGGTACCTGCACAGCCGGTGCTGAAGATCCGCTTGTCCCTGGATGGACTGTCAGCTCAACCAACTCTTTTCCCTTCCTCCGATCTTCGCATCCCAAACAACTCACCATTCATCCGGCTCGTCGTCGTCTTCCTCCACCTCCACGGGCGGGTTCTCCCTTTTCTCCTGGTCCGACATTGTGCTTGCTTGCTTGACTGTCCCACTGCTTGACTGCTTGTGCTTGAGTGGTTGCTCCGAGAGAGTTGCAGGTAGTTGCCGCAAAATGGCGACCCCCAATATGACCGGCAAAAAGGTCAACGTTCTGGTCTATTCCGGTGCGTCACTCTCCCCTCTATTCTCCCCGCTTCACCCATCTACGAGCCCATTGACTTTCACTCAACCAATACTATACACTGCAATTTACTCACTATAACATACTTGAATTTACAGGCAATGGAACCACCATCGAATCGGTCCGCCACACTCTCTACTCCCTCCGCCGCCTTCTAGCCCCCCACTACGCCGTCATCCCCGTCACCTCCGACGCCCTCCTCCGCGAACCCTGGACCGCTACCTGCGCTCTCCTCGTCATCCCCGGCGGCGCTGATCTAGGCTACGGTCGCGTTCTCAATGGCCCTGGTAACCGCCGCATCGAACAATTCGTCAAGCGCGGCGGCGCTTACCTCGGTTTCTGCGCGGGCGGGTACTACGGTTCCCGACGCTGCGAATTCGAAGTCGGCGATAAGACACTTCAGGTTATCGGAGAGCGTGAACTGGCCTTCTACCCAGGGACATGTCGCGGAGGGGCATTCCCGGGGTTCGTCTATCATAGTGAGGCGGGAGCGAGGGCCGCGGAGATTTCGGTGCATAAGGATATCCTAAATGCGGGGGTTGTGCCGGAGCGGTTCAGGTGCTACTATAACGGGGGTGGGGTTTTTGTGGATGCGCCGACCTTGGCTGATAAGGGAGTGGAGGTGCTGGCGAGCTTTGAGGAGGAACTGAATGTTGACTCTGGGGAGGGGAAGGCCGCCGTGGTGTTTTGTCGCGTTGGTGAGGGGAGGGTTGTTCTTACGGGACCGCATCCGGAGTGAGTGTTTTTTTTTTAAATCGTCTGTGGTTCCAGGTGGTCTAGGTGACGTGTGCTGATGAATGGTAGGTTCGCAGCTGCAAACCTGGATAAAAAAGCCGGTGGCCCCGACTATGCAAAGGTCGTGGAGGCGCTGGAGGCTGATGACAAGGCGCGCACGGACTTCCTCAAAGCATGTCTGGTCAAGCTGGGCCTGCAGGTGACGCAGAGCACGACCACCGTGCCGTCGCTGTCGTCGCTGCATCTGTCCTCGCAGGAGCCCGCCGAGACGGCCGATCTGGTGGCGTCATGGCAGGAGATCATCACCAAGGATGGCAATGAGGAGATCCTGAAGGATGAGAATGACACGTTCCGGATTGAGAGACCCGGCGCGTGGAACCTGAGCGAGCTGGAGGACTCCCTCCCAGCGTCATCGCAGTCTACAGAGGGTATCGTGGATTACAACGCCATCGTTAAGCGACTGGTGGTGCACGACGACGTGCCATCATCGAAGCTGACGCCCTACTTCAATCACCATGCCTTCTACTCCAACCTCCACCAGTACCAATCGCAGTCCCGCGAGGGTGCATCCGAGTTTGGCTCCCACCTCGTGTATGGCGAGGTCGTCACCAGCACGAACACGATCTTGGAAAAGTAAGTAGACCTGTCCGATGAACAGACGCGAGACACGACTGACGGGTCAGAAACCCCAAGCTGCTGCGCAAGCTGCCCAACGGCTTCACCGCCAGCGCTACGACCCAGGTGGCAGGCCGCGGCCGCGGATCGAACGTCTGGGTGTCGCCGGCCGGAGCGCTGATATTCTCAACGGTGCTGCGCCACCCGCTCGAGAAGATACAGTCAGCACCAGTAGTGTTTATCCAGTATTTGGCGGCGATGGCGGTGGTGCAGGGAATCAAGAACTACGACGACGGATATTCGGAGTTACCGGTCAAGCTGAAGTGGCCGAATGACGTGTGTAAGTGATCCTTTCTTACGATCTGATCGAGGGATTGGGACGATGCTGATCAGCCGACAGATGCACTGGACCCGGAGAACCCGGAGAAGAAGCAGTACTCGAAAATCTGCGGCATCCTGGTGAACTCGCATTACTGCGCGAACGAGTACATCTCGGTCGTGGGCATTGGCATCAACGCAACGAACGCATCGCCTACGACGTCGTTGACGGCGCTGGCGGCGCGGTTCCTTGGGCCCCGGGCCGCCCCGATCACACTGGAAAAGCTGTTGGCGCGCATTCTGACGACGTTTGAGGAGCTGTATACGCGATTCCTGCGTGCCGGGTTCGATCGGGGATTCGAAGAAATGTATTACGCAGACTGGCTGCACATGCACCAGGTGGTGACGTTGGAGGAAGAGGGGGGTGTGCGCGCGCGCATTAAGGGGATCACGCGGGATTACGGGCTGCTGCTGGCAGAGGAACTGGGCTGGGATGACCGGCCGACGGGCCGGGTGTGGCAGCTGCAGAGCGACAGTAACAGTTTTGACTTCTTCCGTGGATTGGTGCGGCGGAAAGTGTAGTGGGGGGCGGAGACCATTACAGCCAGTCGATTTAGCATGGAGCGATTTTAGTGACTAACGTTCTATGTACTATGTAAATTAGCATGGTTAGAGATCGGAAGGGTTGCTGGACAGAGATAAAGTGCCGGCAGGGCGACCGAAATGAGCGGCACGCACAGATACCGCATTGGGAAGTCGAGCGCGGGCAGAAACACTTGCATTTACCTAATTCTGTAGGTGAAACCTACCTCGGACCTGGCAAGGGAACAGCATGTGGTTGGGTTCTTGGTTCAGTACCCCTGGAACCAGAGAGTAAGTGAGTCATTCCACAGAACATGAATAACTAGTTCACGTAGTGAAGTTTCCCCATAATAATAGAAAGGGGAATGGATTACTGAACACACATTGAGATTGTTATGGTTGGGATTGATGCAGTGGAGTGTGCCCTAAGATGGGGCCGGGAACACCCAATGCCATCAAGGCTAATATAGTGTGCAAACTGCAAAAGTACATACTAAGTACAATGTAGATGCAAAGCCGTGATGTTGGAACCAACCATTGTGGCTGCAGACTAATCATCCTCCAGGATGCATCTTTCCCGTAAGCCTGCAATCCGGTTGGCCCTGTTCGTTTTAGGGAGAAGGTATAGTGGTGGTGCAGTATAGGCCAGGGGAATGCTTGTGCAGACTCGGCGGTAATAAGGATGAACAGATGGCGATATGTGCGGGTCAAACCAGATACTTTTTCTCCACCCCTGAAGCCTGTCATGGCGGGCCTCCTGCTTCCATCCAGTTGGAAGCTCCGAGGTCTTAGACTAGGGGTCGCCGGTACTCCACTGCCACGACTAATCATCTCAAGTTCCTTTCCAACGGTCCGATGTGTCCATACTGCTTTTTTGCTTTCTCTATCATGAGGATGGTCCGATCTGCCTCGGTTGCCGGCCACTCGGTTTGCTGGCCATCCTGATCCTCCATCGTATTCACTTTAGTAGTTGAAACATAAATGAATCTAACTTCCCGCCCGGTACATTTATTTACCTTCATCAACCCCTCTTTGCCTCGCCAGTTTTGGCTTTTTTCTCCTCACTCCCCCTTCATCTTTCTGTCCCTCTCTTCCCCCACCTCAACCCTCGCCATGTCGACACTTTTGTTTGTCGCAACGGCCTCCCCCATCCTCTACCTCCTATATGTGCTGCTCTCTCGCTGGCAACATGCGCAAAATGCTCGTAAATGGAACTGCGGGAGTATTCCCTCATACCCCGGTGATCTGCTGGGCCTCAACACCCTGAAGGAGGCATTGGCTATGGACAAGGCTCGCCAGGTGCCCACAGTAACCCGCCGCCGGGTTGACATCATGTCCGCCCGCGAGAATCGCTATACCACTACATTCCACTTCCGTCAGCTGGGCACCGATGTCATCAGCACCTGCGATCCCAAGAACGTCCAGGCCTTGTTGGCCACTCAGTTCAAGGACTTTGAGCTGGGCCAGTCCCGTCGCAACGCTATGCACTGGCTGCTAGGCAGCGGTATTGTACGTCCACTAACTTCCTCTCCCTATCCAAACCATCACCCTTCTAACTCGTATCCAGTTCACTGCCGATGGCGACCACTGGTCTCGCTCTCGCGCTCTCCTCCGTCCCCAGTTCACCCGCGACCAGATCAGCGACCTCGATCTTGAGGAGCGTCATGTCCAAGTCGCCATGAGAGCCATGCCCGTCGACGCCACCACCGGCTGGACCGCCGCCACCGACATCCAGACCATCTTCTTCCGCCTGACCATGGACACCGCGACCGAGTTCCTCTTCGGCGAGAGTGTCCAGAGCCAAGCCGCCGCCCTCAGCAACGGCGCCATTCCCCAGGATGACTTCCCTGCCCAGTTCGACCGCGGTCAATGGTACTCCGCCCAACGCGCTCGCTTCGAGAAGCTCTACTGGATCGTGAACAACAAGGAAAGCCGCGCCATCAACAAAGCCGTGCACGCCTACGTCGACCGCTTCGTTTCCGCCGCCCTCAACTCCGACCCGGAGAAGAAACCCACCGGCCACTACGTCTTCCTGCACGGTCTGGCCGAAGCCACCCGCGACCCCGTTGAACTGCGCTCCCAGCTCCTCAACATCCTCCTCGCCGGTCGCGATACCACTGCCTCTCTCCTGTCGTGGTGCGTCCTCTTCCTCGCCCGCCACCCGGACTGCTTCACCTCCCTGCGCGCCACCATCCTCGCGGAATTCGGCTCCTACTCCTCCCCCCATGACATCACCTTCGCCAACCTCAAGTCCTGCCGTCCTCTGCAGAACTTCCTCAATGAAGTCCTCCGTCTCTACCCCATTGTCCCTGGCAACCGCCGCACGGCCGTCCGCAACACCACCCTCCCCACGGGCGGTGGTCCTGCGGGCACGGACCCCGTCTACGTCAAGAAGGGCCAGCCCGTCTTCTACAGCACCTACGTGATGCACCGTCGGCCTGATCTGTGGGGCGCCGATGCTGACGAGTTCCGTCCGGATCGCTGGAACGAGCGCAAGGCCGGATGGGAGTACCTGCCGTTCAACGGTGGGCCGCGGATTTGCATTGGGCAGCAGTTTGCGCTGACCGAGACGGGCTATGTGTTGGTGAGACTGTTGCAGCGCTTCGATGTGATTGAGGGCGTGGGCAAGACCAAGGAGGGGGAGATCACGATGCAGATGAGTTTGACGAATGCGCCGGGAGATAATGTGACGGTGCGGTTGCATGAGGATGCTTCTAACTAGTTTTTTTTCTTGTTCTTCTTACTGTTGTTGATGTTGATGATTGGATTGGGATACCCAATGTTCATATGTGTGTTAGCGTATATAGAGTGTGATTGGCACATTGCATTGCATTTTACATACATCTTCTTAAACTACTATCGTACAACTCATACGCCTGCAGAGTAGAACTAACCCAATGGATGTATCTAGGCTCCAGCACCAGCCAAGATTTCTTTTGAAAACTGGCAAAGTTTACCAAAGTCAGTTTACACTCTCCTCACCGCCTACGAAATACCCTTCTCCACTTTGACAGGGGGGGCGCGCGCCCGCCTGTGGGGTGGGAACTCGGACAACACCGACAGACCAATCATATTCCAAGAAAATGAGATTTTCATACCTGCTTCAAGACAACTTGGAGGTTACCTTAGGAGCAGATACTCGATTTGGATAATTATCCGTGGTTCATTTTTCTCATAAAGACATAACTAAACACTGCCACCGGTGTATTATGTAATATTTATCCGGTTTTGTGGATGAGGCGATAGTTAGCAGATGTCTGTCATTTTCTAGTCGGGTATTTATACATTCAATCTATTGGGAAATCGGAGAGGGAGAAAGCAGATGATTGATGATCTAGACTAGACTATCGGCCTCGCCGACGGTAAGTTCCCGGATGTACGGATGTAGTATGCAGCATACAGTTTGTCCCATAGATACTGTCCGTCAAATGTCTCAGATTTGAGTTTACTTGTTGCTTGCTGCTGCTGCTGCTGCTGCTGCTGCTTCTAGGTTGTGGTTTGTGGTTTGTTCGTGTTGGGGTTACGGTACTTGCTTGCTTCTCTTTCATCTCTCATTCTGGATCTGGTTCAGGTTAGCCTACCCGCTTTTTATTTTTTTTATTTTTTTTTTTTTTTTTTTTTTTTTTTTTCTAAAGTAAACGGGAGCTATTTCCGCCTGAGTTACTTTAGCTGTGGCCTGGGAAGTGACAGGTAATATACAAAGTGTAATTGGAATTCGATTGGCGTTTCTGGAATGTTTGATACAAGGGGATGGGTAGGGGGTAACTGGGAAACTTTGAGCTTGGATGTAGTGTAAAGGGGGATGCTCTGGATTTTATTCATTATTGTGTCATATTGTACATATTAGGAAAAGGTAGCGCGGGTGGACGTACGAGTCAGTTACTGCTGGTAGTAAATGAGGCAGGACTCGAGCATTAGTGTCTGTGGTCATCGGATCTGAACCAGGGATCCTTGTCATGGAGATGCTCGGACTGCTAAGACTAAGGGAGCAGCTTTATTTCATTGACAGCTCTTGCTTACCCCGCAGTCAGATGTATGGGCCATGGGTGGTCCTGGGCTTGTGTTATGGTTCAGATGATCGTTTGTACCGTATTACTGTTGTTGGTTAGTTCCATTTGGGGGTGTGGTTGAACGAATCGGTGTTGGAAGTGCTTATGTATGTATATTTTAGGTAATGCTGACTGCATAATGTGTACAATCTGTCAATTGTTAATAGTGCTCTATGTAATGGTGGTTATATTTAGAGTTGGCAATGCTGACTGCATCTGCTTTGGTTCATGTGCTGTTCTCATCGTGGCATCGTCATGCTATAAAAAGGTTCGATTGTTCATAATATAGCTGCTCGCTGTTAGGATGAATGATATATGGACAATGCTATCATCAGGTTATTTCAGAAACCTGAATCAAGAAAGGTCGTATGTCATGCCTTTGAAAGTGTATTAAAACAGCGATATATATTATGGAGGAATACATACTATCTTGCTTGAAGTTACCTCCAATCTTCCATATGTCGGCAGCGGCAACGCATTGTCACGTGCCGGTTGTGGAAGGCCCCGACGAGATTGTTGATCCGATTTCTGTATACTCTCGAAGTCAAGTAAGTACCCGCGCCTTCCGGCTTAACAGCATAAGATGATATCAGAGCAATAAGCAAGTAAGCAGGATCTGACCGAAGAATGTTCCTATCCCGTGATACTCAAACGGAAGGCCAATCATGTTTCCGCCGAAACCGGCACTTCAACTACCACTCCCATAGTAACATCATCTCCCACTTATATACCTCACATCAGATATAAGCAGATATAAATACTTCTATACATCATCAACACCAACAACACATCCATCCACAGCCAGTAGCTATCAAATCATCAATGGTCCGTCCTCGTCTCCCGCTCACCACCCATCGAATCACCCAACTCCTCACTCACCCCGCCAAAATGTCCGACTGGAGCGCAACCCAATACCTCAAATTCGCCGACGAGCGCGCCATTCCCACCCAAGATCTGCTATCGCATATCCCATTGCAATCTCCCTCCCACATCGTCGATCTTGGCTGCGGCCCCGGAAACTCCACCGCCATGCTTTCCGCCCGCTACCCATCCTGTCCGAGCATCGCCGGCATCGACTCCTCCCCAAACATGATCGCCCGCGCCAAGGAGTCATCTACATCTAGTTCAAACACCACCTTTGCTGTCGCCGACGTGGAATCCTACTCTCCCCCACCAGACCACCCCGTAGATCTCTTCTTCTCCAATGCCGTCCTCCACTGGCTTCCCCGCTCCACTCGTCTCCCTACTATCCGCAGACTCTTACTGACTCTTCCCCCGGGCGGCGTCTTCGCCTTCCAGGTCCCGGATACCTTAAACCTGCCATCGCATACTTCTATGCGGGAGGTCGCGAGGACGGGGCCCTGGGCGGAACATCTACGGAGTACGCTTGTGGAGAGGGATGGGTTGGATTCCCCTGAGGAGATTTATGATGCGTTGGTGGATGTTTGTGAGAGTTTGAGGATCTGGGAGACTGTGTACTATCACTCCCCTGGGGATTGGAGGGATATTGTCGAGTGGGTGAAGGGGACGGGGTTGAGGCCGTATTTAGATGGGTTGAGGGGGGAGGAGGAACGGAAGGAGTTTTTGAGGGTGTATGAGGGATTGTTGAGGGAGAAATATGAGAAGAGGGCCGATGGGAGGGTGATGTTGAGATATCCCAGGTTGTTTGTTGTTGCTGTTAGGAAGTGACTTTCTGCCTTTTTTTGTTTACGTGGTTGGGTTGGATGTGCAGTACAGTGTATAGCCAGTGGGACAGAATGTAGTATGCTATGATTGGTTTATACAAGCTTCCCGTGTATATGGCAGGCATGCATGCTGGTATGATTCTGAAGTTTATACGGAGTAGCTTGCATATGGAATAGATCGTCAGGTTCATGTACGCCGTCACGTAGATACTTAGCTTAGCCTAGCTAGACCGAACCACTCAATCGATCCTGTGATACAAGATGAAATGCATGACTCAAACAATTTGAACCACAAATTTCGACCATTCCCCGGACGCCAATGTTCATCTAAGACAGAATGCCGAAATTGAAACAAAACACGATCAAGGAACACAGTCACACAGAACCACATTACCACCTCGTTCAATGCCACTTACATTATGTAAGTGGTACGGATCGACAACCCTGAATAATAATATTAGCATTGTCTATACCCCAGTCCATCCAAATAGATCTCAATAAATGCACACTCCTCCTTCACAGCATACCCAGCGGCTATCCCGATCAAGGGACCGAATACCCCGGGAAATGAACACACATTCCACACATCCCTTATACCACCTCAAATCTAACTAACCCTGACACCCGGATGATCCCCGCGTTCAAGGAACGCCCCCTGGCTAACTAAATCAAGGGCGCGTCAACAACGACCTCAACAACAAACAGCCACACGGCGTAGTATCCCTCATTCCGCTCTGAAGAAATACTTTCCCACCAATACCTTACTGCGGAAATTACTTGCCCGGGGTATCCAGGCACAATCCAATCAAGCCATGCGTGCACCCCACGCAGCTATATCCAGGCATGTTATGAAGATGCCAACGCCGTCGCTTATTTCCTCCTTCTCTCCCTTGAAGATTTTGAATATAAAATCCAGCTGGATGACCACGATATCTCTCTTCATCCATCAGCAGCATCAACGGTAAAGCAGTCTAGCAGCCAACACATCTCTTCCAAAACAAATCAAAATGCAATTCACCACCTTCCTTTCTCTGGCTGTCGCGGCCATTGTCCCCGCTCTGGCTGCAGACAACGCTGCTCAGGAGAACATCGAGGTAACATCCATCACCTCTACACCAATTCAACATCGAATTCAAAAATATGCTAATACAAGAATAGGCCTCCGTTTTCCCCCTCCCCCACTTCAACGGTCCTCCCACCTTCAACGACGGTGACGCATCTTGCTTCACTTCGTGAGCTACCCCAAATCCCCATATACTCATGAATCGACTTCTAATCCTCGAATACAGCGTCACCGGCGAGATCCACTCCGTCAAGCAGGTTCCTGGCATTACCTGCCACATCTACTTGTAAGTGCCACATCTTCTCAGCCAATACCCTTCAATAAGAATGGATAGCTAACAAATAATAGCGACCACAACTGCGGCGGCGACAGCCTTCCCGTCACCGTTGACATCCCCGATGTCGTCCACGCTCACCACAACCCCGCTCTCAGCGCTCGCTGCTACCGGTAGATGGCTTCCAGCCATGGGGGAGTGTATGATTCCTAGGGTATTGGCTTGAACCTCGGTATATTTACAACCTGTCTTTGGTTGGGGGGGACGGCCTAGCGATTCGAAAAGTTCTACAGCACTGGCTCGGTTTATGGACTGGTCGGACACTTAATTATATTAGTAGTTAATGTGAACTTAAGAGTTGCGATGTACTTTTCTTCCCTAACCATTCTTTGTAGTAGAGTAGTAATCCTTAGGACAAAATGAGTGGATCTTAACAGGTGGTTGAGGTTTAAATGGGCTACTGTCTGTGATCCTTTAGTTCATCTTCATGTTATCTTAGTAGTTTGCTATGATGATGGACAAATAGACACCAATGCGTGTATTCTTTGGCTAGAGGCTTTTTAGACATACGGAGTACGATATATCATAGAATGTGGGGTGCTTTGAGAGTGCTCTCAATGTAGAACTTCACCCCTCGGGAGTACATATAAACTTCATATATAGCATTAGTACTACCATTGAGCATATTCAGAGACTACCGGTAGTAGGAGTCAGTGAGCAGATAAGTTATTGTGTGTCATTATTAGTTAGTTACATTGTTGTAGTAATCATTACTAGTAAATATATATCTCAGTCCGTTCCCCCTAGAATACCGGACACATTTAGCACTCTAACTGAACAGCCATGATGCTGGTAAATCCCAAAAGCCAATAGATATGAGTCATGAAAAGTACATATCAAACCTGAACTAGTCTCCCTAGTCACTATTTCCGTCTGCACCATGCTCATGCTCTATGTTCCATTTTGATTACATCCACGCAGCCTGCACTGGAGGTGCATCGGGCCGCTGCACCCGACAGGGAGCATAATAATATACCCCCTTACATCCACCCATTATATAAGCGCCGGAAGAGAACGCAAGATTTTTATAGCTAGAATGGACCGAAAGGGATGAACATTGTATTGTGTCTGCGCAATTCGTGCTGATAATTGTCCTGACGCGTCATAGAGCTAAAAGCGCCCTGCTATTCTCCCACACAGGAAGATTAGACAAAATCGCATCTCTTTCAATCATTCGCGTGTATCTATGCTCAACTTCCTTCAACGACACTCTTCCTCCGCCCACTAGACTTCAACTCCGGGCTAAGCGACGCAAATCTCCCATCTATCACCTCCGAAATAGAGTATATCAACCCATGCCGAATCGAAGGCCAAGACCTATGACTCGACAAGGCTAGTCTTAGGCCCTTAAGAACACGAATCGCACTCTCCGGGCCGTTCAAAATACCCACTCCTTTGACATACATAGGAGCTTCTAGGGTGCCTTGGATCCAGGAATTCTTCACATCATCTGGGACACCTTTATCAGGTCTCAGCGGTCGTTGACTGATTCTCCGTGTCCCATTCGCTCCCGCAGTACCGTCTTCTCCGCCCACGATACAATAAGCCCAGATATAGAGACCCGCGGTGAGAAAGGCCAAGTGATGACTCCCTGGTCCTGTGGTCTCGTCATAGAGAACTCCAAATAAAGTAATTGCTTGTAGAAGGGCTTCTCGGGCTAGTGCCGAATTCTGCTGCATCCAGTGTGATAGGGATGTAGCGGCGGCAGTCATCTGGTCCACTGTGACTTGCCATCCGCTCAAGGCGTATAGACAGCGTAGTGGTGTGCGTCGGAGTATGTTGGTGACGTGGAACATCACTTTTAGGAAGATAGGTGCGTTGTTTACTATGGGTGTGAGCATAGAGAAACGTTTGATGGTAGGGTCGCATTTATCGTCTAGAGCTGTTCGGAAGGATACTAGTTCGTCCGGCCATTTATATAGCCTCCTCTCGTTGAGGCCTGTGGCCATGTCGGCTGCGAACCATGGCTGGGTGGATCGTAAGAGGCGCCTTTCTTCGACGTTGAATGTTAGAAGTATTACTAGGTCGCTGAGGCCGGAGTTGTCGTTGAGGAGGTTGTCGAGTAAGTCTGGGTTAGAAAATGCGGTTTTCAGACTCGGCCTGTCTTTTGATTCTGTACCAGGTTAGACCTCTCGAAGTTGGAGATGAAACAATAGAAAAGCAAAGTAATGGAATTATTCGTTCAATGGCTGCTCACCTGGTCTTGTTGGCAGACACTCCTGCCATTGTTCGAAATTTGATGTCCATAACTTGTCTCGGCATGGAAGAGCTATCTTGAAATCGTCGAGGGTCATTGATGAAGGAGCATCCTTGAATGTCCAATAGCAGCATTCGAGCACTGTATCGTTAAGATAAGTTATGTGATGTCGAGGTAAATCAGAAAGTGTCCTCACCATACACACAGTAGACGATCCTTCTCTGAGACTCTAACCCCACCCAGCGACGCCACCTTTCATATGGGTCCAAATCATCTGGAGATGGTATGCTCTCAGCAACGTCGGCAGAAACTGATTTAGCCACTGAAGTGAGCATGTTCCTCTGGTACTGAGACGTAAGAATCTCATCTTCGTAACCGCTGAACAGGAGAGCTGTATTGCGTAGAAGAAGACACTGCGCAAGTGTCATCTGGTCAAGGGTAATAGTTTCCGTGGCCTAGCGAGTCAGCTACACTGAAGTAGATAGTGAAGTTAAGGCAACTCACATCCTTCGGTAGTACCTTCTGTAGAAGGTCCTGTAGACCTAAGACATAAAGCTCCGAGCGCTCCACATTAGAGTATTGGCACCCGACAGATGCCACCGCTAAGATAAGGACCCATGAGGCATCTTCTTTACTGAAAGATGACGGATGGATGAAAGACATCCAAAGGTCATGGTGCTCGAAGTAGAGCTGGACCATCGCGTTCAAAAAGGACAGGCTGATGAAAGGTGACGCACACGAGGAACATTGCTGGCTCTTCCAGAAGTCACAGATCTGTTGGTATTGCTTGTCTAGTATGGGTCTAACATGTCCATAATCCTCAGCTGCGATCACGTCTTCATCTGGCTGAGTTTCCGGAAACCGACTGCAGCAGCACCCGTGAGCATGAGATTCTTCTGGCATGGAGAAATCACTTTGCGACGAAGGATTATCGTCGTTATCTTCCCGGGTGGAGAGTGAAGTGACTGATCCCCCTGACGGTAGATTTATATTCATGTCTACTGCCATGGCATCACCTAACCCTTGGCTAGGTAGTGATAACACATGTGGATGGATAGCGTTTTCACCGGGGTGGTCGATAGGGTACATACTGCAGTCTTCTCGATGTTGTTCGCCCGATCCTGTAGTAGCTTCCAAGTCTTCGAATGGAAAGTGGTCGGCTCGTACATGTTGTTCGTCGAAGGTGACATGATTACCACTGCCACTTGAGATGATTGTAGGATCGTCATTCAGAAAAAGCGTAGAATGAACAAAGTCAGGCGTCTCTATCAGTGGAGGATTCTCCATTGCAGGGGCTGGCTTTGAAAATACACATTGTGTGTTTCGCTTAACACATCTACGACACGGCGACTTGCCATTGCAGCGTTGCTTTGCCTTGGCACAATTTAGGCATGCTTTTTGAGACCGCCGACGATTGCGGGTGCAAGGTGGTTCTTCACCATCGCTTTCTCTCGAATGGGTGGCTTGGTGTTTCCTCAAAGTATCCCTGTAACAGTTACTATTCTCGATTACATACTAGTGGAGATTAGCTATATGATGAGGACACAAACCTTCTAGAAAACATGCGAGAACACACATCGCATCGAAAGGGCTTCAATCCGAGATGGCTGAATTCATGTCGTTGGAGATGCTCTTTTCGGGCAAAACTCTCTGGGCAGAATTCACACGTCCATCTTCCCGACGTGTCCGACCCATCTGCTGTTGGGGCTTCCATACTCAGGTACAGATTGCTGGGTTGGTGAAGTAGAAGGACCAGTTGCAGACTCGGAAACCACGAGCCGTACAAGTTGGGGTTCACTGACGCAAGCCCCCACATCCCGCCACCCCACATTCTCTTATTCATCGCTTTCAACCGAGGTAAACAGCAACCACCAATATAGGGCTTTCTTCGATCATACATTGATCTTTAATTAATGAAACTCCCCTTATTCATATGCTGAGCTTGAAATATATTCCAACTACCTGGAGTTGTACAGCTCGATTGCTTAATCTCAGATACCTAATTGCAACTACTGTAGTGGATGCTTCAACGCCAGCTTCCCAAACCTTCCTCCATCTGTTATCGCCTTCAATTCTTCCACCGCCTCTTCTGCCGTCCCTTCAAATACATCGACAGAAGGCAGCCGAAAATTTACACCATAATTCTCTACAGCCCAGATCAGCGCACGCCACGCGCGGTGATAGTCTGCCGGTCTTGCAGGGATCGTGATCGGAATTGGCACATCCTGGACCTTGATTACCACATCCCTGTTCGGGGTGGCAATAGGCATCCTGAATTTGGAGTCACTCTGAACAACAACAGATACAAGCGTTGCATCTTCCGAACAGCACTCAGCAACTAGCTGTGCGGAGCTGACACCTCCCTTTCGGCTCCCAACTGCATCAAATCCGCATGTCAATGGACTCTGCTGAGAATCTCTCACGGTCGCTTTAATATCCGAAATAACACTGGAAGACTTGTAGTCAAAGCAGTGAGTGGCTCCGAGCTCCTGTAGTAGGGAATGTCTCTCTGGGGAAGCAGTGACGATAATCGGATGAATACCACTCGCACGAGCGAGCTGGAGAGCACAAAGACCAACGCTCGATGAGGCGCCCCAAATCAACAAGGGCTTCGTAGTTGTCGCTTGATTGTCATGCTCATACGGCAGAGGGAGGTTTAAGATACTATATAGAGCATCCGCAGCAGTCATGGCCACCACCGTCAAACTCGCAGCATGGTGTGGTGGGAGTGCTGCAGGGACTGGGAAGACCATATCCTCGGGACATGCCAAGTATCGCTGATGGGTACCGTATTTGGGCGGTCGGTTTATTCCGGTGGGGGTGTATCCAGCAACTAGGTCTCCCGGCTGAAATGTCGAACTGGTAGGGGCCTTGAGAACCGTGCCGCAAAAGTCATATCCAAGAACTGCAGGATAGATGCCTAGGAGCGTGGCATGCTTGATATCGGCGGGATTGGTTCCAGAAAATTGTGTTTCGACAAGAATTTCATCATCATCTGGAGTAGGAATTTCCTGTTGGCGACGGACCGAGAAATTGACGTCTTCATCCACGTACAGAGCTGCGTTCTCGTCTTCAGGAGGCATTGGAGGAGATCAGGGTCAAGTGCAGAGTAACTAAAGACAAGGGTGATGTAGATAATACGGATGAAAATTCTCAGGGGGTATTCATACTGTACAGTTGAGCGCCTCAGAACTTCCCCGTCGGAGTAAACCTCTGGTCACCATGTCATCCCGCCTTTTTCACCCGACAAGAAACCTATAGAACTTGGAGCCTCTCTGCGTAATCGTGGAAATATACTGTTAAGTTAATTGATCATGACTTCCTTCCCGGCACCCCGCCATCGGCCCAGTACACAGGCGGCCCCGTTGCGGCAAACCCCATCGGCAAAGCCGAGGAATCTCCCCACCGGCTCCATCGGCAGCGCCCGCTTGACGAGTGAACGTTCGTAGACCGTGGACGTTTCGCCTCTACTGTGTACACCATTGTAGCTCCATTATCTACAGCCTCAAGAGCATATAATGAATAAATACCACCGGCCTGATCAACCCAACCCAGAAAATAAATGCCCCACACTCCCATTACCCACACGTACTCAAGATGCCCATCATCAAACAATTAATCGCCCTGCGACGAAAAGCCGGCTTGACAAGAGAAGAATTCTTCGACTACCACTACCAAGTACATGGGGCCCTAAGTAAAGGCCCTAGTCCATCTGAAACACCCTTGTATGTGACTATCCTCCCGTCTAGACAAACATACACAAATGACACCCTACTTACATCCAAGCCAGGAAATACTTCCAAACCCACTTCCTCGACACCGCATACCACGTCGACCCGTCTCGAAAGATACCAAACACCCACCCAGCATGGGCCTTCAATGACGGTCTCACAGAGCTCTATTTCTCCTCGGAGGAACACATGATGCAGAACTTTGCTTCCGAGTGGGTCAGTACGAAAGTAGGACCTGATGGGGCGAACTTTTCGGATTTTAGTGCTGTGATGCCTATGTTTGTTAGGGAGGAAGTGGTTCCGTTAACAGCTATTGAGTCGGCGACTTCAACACGGGAGCGTTCTTTCGTTGGCATGTACTTTGTCGCGTTAAGTGATGTGCAGCATTCCGGGGAGAAGAATGGAGAGATGATCGATAGGTTTACATCTCTCCTCAAGCAGTATGCCTCCACTGGAGTGCTAGATTTGGTGGTTAATGCTCCTACTGAGGTAGGCTTTGATCTTAGTGCTTACTTTGGGGGTGGGCGGTCTATTCCCAGTTATTATGTGTTCATGATTGTGCTACGGGGTAAGGAGTCGGTTAGTGCTGTGCGGAAGGTACAGGGGATCTTTGAGGATGAGTATGTGGGGGTGTTGGATCTCCCGGCGACCTGGATTGGGTTTGGTGAGCGTGCTGTTGTGTTGGATCAGAGTGAGGGAATTGAGGTAAGTTGTTGCGTTGCTGTAAAGGCTTTCTTGTGATAAAGATGGCTGACGTTTGGCAGTTTGATCTGAAAAGACAGCCGTATAAGATGGAATGAGAATTACGCTATAAGTAAGGTGTGTATCGTGCAGTATGCTGCTCTGGACTGGCTTGAAGCCGTGCTTGCAGCGTGGGTGGAAATGTAGTGTTACTTAGTGTTCAATATACTAGCTATCAACTTTTTCTTCTTTATCGCCATTTTTCTTTCAAAGCAAAAAATGAATTGCTCACGCCTAAACACCGTGTTTTCTGGAAACCAATTGTGCGTCGAGCTACTTGACAGACGTGATATCTGGATATCGAAGTATAGCTAATCAAGATGGACTGTGGAAATGGTTTGCGCAGGTTAAACTACCGTCCACTTATTGACAATTAGCCTAGTACTATCTTCTCATTTATCAACATATGCCGACTCGAGCTACATGAATAATAGTCCTATTTATATACATTGACAATGACTGCCAAATCCAATTCAAGACACATCACCGCCTCACCCGAGGAAGAACCAACTTCCCATGAGAAATAATGACATTATCCCCAGAAAATCTCTCCTTCACTCGATCTCCACCCTCGTGCCGCATAGGACCAATAGTACCGGCTGTATCCACTGACCCAATCTCAATGCTGAGTGACTGGCCCTGATCAAACAGAAACGCAGCAGGGTACAAAGGAATAAGCACAGAGTAAACCTGGCCCGGAATGACCTCCGACTTGGCAACAGCTGGTTGTGAAATGACCTTATCTTCAATGAAACCTTTGGCGACTTCATCACGATGAGAAAGACGGAAGTAACCTCTTGCAAAATTGTCCATCGGTTCGCCGTGGTTGCCGTGTAGAATAATATTCTCGCCGTCTGCATTGATTGCGCGTAGATAGATGAAGATGTCCATGTCTTTGGCTGTGGTGCTGACCTCAAGCTCTAGGTATGGTGAGCCTAGTAGCTCGAAGGACTCGGGGAATGGGATTTCGAGGGAGAAGTGGAGGTTCTCGCTGTAGCCTTCATATGTAAAGGAGGTCTTTGGGCCGGTTGGTTTGTTAGGGGTGATCACTTTCTCTGGGGTGAAGTAAAAGGGCACATATTCCGCATCGGCTGGAGGAAAGGATGTTTCATTTTCACGATAAAGGGTATTTGTGCCGTGGTGTTGAAGAAGCCTGATGCGGGGAACATCAAGCATGCCGTTATCCTTGCCGAAGAGGAAGAAGTCCAAGAACTTCCTCTGCTTTTCCAGATGCGCTGGCTCATAGAACGCACTTATATGATTTCCGGTATGCATTTCCAGCCACTTGTATTTTGACGAGATAGCGTTAAACGCCCGAATATTGCCGGGTAAATGGAGCTCAGCATCTGTCCAGTTTCCAGCAAGATAGAATGGGATCTCAATATCGGAAAGATTGCGAACTCTTTTCAAAACTTCCCAGACACCGTCAGTGGGATACTCAGTCTCCGCGAGTAGCTTCGGAAAATCGACTCTGTTGGCTGCAAGTTCTACTTCCCCTATGTGACCTTCTTTCTTTCCTCCTTGATAGGGAATGACTAGATTCCGGTACCAATGAGATTGGAAATTGTCACTGTAGATACCGCCTCGTCTTGACGCTTGATACATATCGCATGCAGACTCGTATGATACGACGCAGATTAGGTGGGGTGGCTTCTGCATCGCGGCCCAGTATCCTATCATTCCATAATAACTGATTCCAGAGTATGCCACCTTTCCGGATGACCATGGTTGGATGGCAGCCCATTCGACGATATCGTAGAGATCTGGAAGAGAAAGAGGATTCGAATTAGCCATATGAATCTGACGTAGTGAGTGGAGATCAATACCTTGTCCCTCTGCATCTGCTTGAATCTGCACTGATCTTTCCAAGCCGAAAGGGTCAAGCTTTCCTTGGCTGCCGCCAATGCCACGGCTGTCAACACGAACCAACGCATAATTGTACTCTTTGCACTAAAGGGTAGGAAATAAGCACAAGGGAAGTTTAGCCTAATTATGGGTTGTCTCGTACCCAGATAGATGGTTCACATAATTCAAAGCAAGCATCAGGGCCCAATGGCTTGATGTGCTTATACATTTCTGCATAAATAGGCGAATGAGGTAGTCCAAATGTAGAGGAATGGTTGTCCTTCCCGTAAGGACCCATGCTGCAAATCACAGGCGCCTTCTCTCCATTTTTCGATGCGATTAAAGGGAGAAACACATCGGCACAAAGCTCAATCCCATCGCGCATGGGTATGTATATGTTTTTTATACGGGTATAGCCGTCGACGTCGGTCTCAATTGTCTCATAGTTAGGTCTAGTGGTGTTCATTTTGAAAGAGGGTATGAAATTGATATTTTCGGGAATACCTATTTGTGGAAAGGCTGTTTGTGAGAGTTCGCGTATCAAGTATAGATACTAATATCACTGATACATCGATTTTATGTATAGGTAGTAGTTGCTGATAGTCTAATTTTTTCCGGAATATAGGAACTAAGGTGGCGATACCCCTTGCAACCGGCGGAACCGATGGGGCCGATGGGGATGCTGCAAGCTTGGCCCGTCCGACTAAGTGTAACCTTTGTATAGCAGTTTTGTGAAATATGTGGCGCCACAAGTAAACCAACTGTGTGACAGTCGATTTATTTGCCTAACCTGGCTCTAGGTTAGGGCTAGCGCCAGTTAAATAAAATAGCAGGAGCAAAAGAGTACTACTGTTGAACATCGGTGAATATCCGAGCCGCCTTCGTGTCTGCGTAACTAGAACTAGCCGCGATGAAAATCCCGGACAGTGTTCTTGATAGTCAACCTCAATTTTACCCCCTACGTAGCTACTAGCCTTGTCCCACAGACGTAAAAGTCGTGTTCGAATCAAAATTTGAGTAGAGGTAATACAACCTAACATTAGTAGTAGCCCATTTAAGGCTTTGCTTCCAGTAAATTCACCAAGTCAAATTCGGGGTAAAGATCATATGGGAGTCACTGCCTAGGAGAACAGCCGGCCAGTGCTCATTATAAACGCACGTACAGTGAACTATTGATATGAATCCAACCTCTTCTTGTCAATGTTCTTGTAGCTGATCTAGAGCTGAACAACCGGACGAAAGTACAAGGTAACGATATCCTGCTTTAAACGTAACGAAAATAACAGGGGGCCAAATCGTGAACGTCTCACATTGTTGCCGTTACGGCTACTCGTTTTACATCTATGGGTTCAAAACAAGCACTCGACTGGCATAAAGAAATACTCTTAGAATTCATAACGAGCGTTTCAAATAGGACAAGAAGCTGGCGCCATTAACCTCTTGCCTCTCAAAGATCGTAAACTCATGGAAACATTTGCAACATAGACGTCAAACCTCGGGCATGCCCTCAATTACAACCAGACCCAACTCAGTACCATCCATACCACCACAAGGTCATCCTCCTAGATATTGTAGCATGCCATGGGGAGTTCCTCTAACCCAGAGCATATATCAGATCTAGCTCAAGCTTTTCCGGGGCAAACGACGTGTCTTGTTCCACCGTAGTTGTTATCCCAGCAGTCCTTCCCATCACCACCTCCACTCTGGGCAGTGCACTGTGATCAAAAATGAATGGTCAGCAAGGTCAAGACGAAATTGGGGATGGAAAGCTCATGGTAGGTATGGTAGGTAAATAGGGCTCGACTGAGCGAAACTGGGTGTTCATAACATACACTGCCCTCATCACAGGGACTATATACGGGCCACTACTGTCAGTTTGTGCTCTTCGTTCACGAGTATTTTTCATGAAATATACAAGCTCGGTGGTGAAACTCACTAGTTGTTAAATCCGATTTGGCAGCTGGTGCCGTTGCAGCCCTGTCAATGGATATCAATATCTGCAGCTCGATATCGGAATCAAGAGGGCAATAAGAAATCTTGAATATAAAACTTACTCCGCAGTTAATCTTGTCGCCAGATGGGCAGCTTTTCTCGTTGGCTGCATTGTCTGCAGGGGCAGGAGCGGCGAGGGCAGCCAAAGGGCCAGCGGCGAGGGCAGCAAAGATAAGAGTTACGAAGCGCATGTTGATGGATGTTTAGAAATGATATTTATGAGTTAGATGGTAAGGATTCCTAGGATTTCTCAGGTAGTCGTCGTCAAGGCTTGGAGACTTGAGTTGGAATTGAAGCTTGATGGCCGGAATGATGGCTGTATTTATAGATTTTGGGACTCTTCTTGCTACTGTGATAAGGCTGTCTTCCCAATTCAGAGATAAGTGTAGCATCCTGGTCAGCATGCCCCATGACTGCTTCTGATCGACACACATATGCTAGGCTGTGTCTTTCTTCCCTCCAAGATGTCAGGGTAAAGGCGTCCAATATCACCCGCTAAACTCATTCAGTGCATTGATTATTATCACTCCGGATAGTGCGGCTGTCTGTCAAGGTACCTCGTACGTCTGGTATTGACGTTCTTCATGGTCATGAGCTAATGGGAGAGCAGAATTTAGCCATCCTCGACCACTATAGTGGTGGTTCAGACACTGTCAGCATATAGCAAATGGGCTGGGCATATGAGGCTCATTTGGATTTCTCATATGCGAGTCAGTATACAAGCTCAAATCATTTTACATTATCAAAATCTCCAAGTGTCGGGCGGGAACTGCACCCCGAAGTATACCCCGGCATGCCTTTTTCGTACTGATAGATTATGAGGTTGGGACTGCTTGGCTTTGAGACGTGGCTTCTATCGTGATCTTCGAGCCAGGTACCCCACCAAGAATGTATCCAACCACTTCATGCTAGCTATGCGCTTTACTGCTAATTATAATGACTATTTATTATTCACATCAAGTTCAAAGAGACCATCAAGGTGTATATTTGTATCAGTCAAACAAATGCTTTTCCTTAAAGAATAGCAATGAAGACACACTTCCACTACGCCATAGCTATCCGTAAGAGATTCAGGCAATATAGCACACTGCTGATAATTCCCTGAGGATCATTCTCTATGTGCTACCATCGTCCCAGTCGGGATGCCACGAGTATGCGGCATATTCGTGCCCACCATGTGAGAATACCCCCTCGTACATGGAGTATATAAAATAAGACTTCTTATTCGTCAATAAGAAGGCTCGCACTAGCTACGAGATTTGAATTCGCTGGTGCAGAAGAGCGATATTAGTTGATATCGTGTTGTTACATCGGGCATTCGATAATATGCGTTAATTAATTCTAGTCCGCACAAGTACTTTCTTTGCCAATGTCTGCCAGACCATCGATGCTGTCATTTCGTAGCTTATGGTAGACCTTTGATAACCACCTGATGTCATGTTATGACTCAGTGGTCTGTACATCATCAACACATTGAGAAAGTCAAGATTACCAAAGACCACCGTCAGTACCAAGAGAAGCAACGTCATCGTTATGCAGCAAATCTGAACAAGTGGCCGATCAACGTTGTCACCTACCCGATTTGCCCTTCAGCCTCGTGCAAGTCATAGCTTCGGAAGCAACAAATGAGCTCATTAAGGCACAACTGCAAGGGTCCACCAAGGTATCTGATCGTCGTGCGGGGAAGGGTTTTGAGGCTGAGGAAGGCACACAAGAGAAAATAAATCCAATTCCACGGCACTTTGTATGGCCACTCGGCATTTAGTTACGACCCATAGTAATTGCGTCGATCATTGGTTGCCTAACTACCTACACTTTCCATGCAGGGTTAACGGCCCGGACCCGGACGCCTCGGACACCTCTCGGAGGTCCGGAATGCAACCTGATTGCACCGTTTCTGGGTACCTCCTTGTGTGGTTATAGCTAGTATTTACTAAAAACTGATTTGTCACTAGTCTCACGAACCGCAAGTGACCCTATCATACGCTGTGTCCCTCTCTCCTGCGTCCAAAAGGTCATCAGGACTGCTTCTTTAGGCTACTTCCACTATTCAAGGTTAGCAAAAGCTACTAATATCAGATTATGCTGCAGCTTAGGGTCCAGCTCAAACTTAAGCTTGCCAAGTTTATCATGACATCTGGCCTTAAACTAGTAGCTGTAGTCCGACCTTGCTGCCATCAGACAGACATTTTGCGACAAGAACCTGCTTACCTTCCTAAAAAGGGGTTTTTCACTGTTGGCTCGGCATTTCCTACTCCTGTCAATGAAGCTAATGGTTATACACAATACAACTTACGATTGTAACTGAGAATTCAGCCTCACTCCCAATGCGCCAAGACTGCAGTTCGAGCGGGGTAATGACATCTGTGTTGGACCTAAGAATGGCAGCTACACGAAGTCACAGCCACCAAAATGAAAAATACAATTCTTTACTGCTTACTCTGAAGGTCGCATTCGTGAGTTACTCTGTTTAGAAGTGATCCCGATCATATGGAAGGAATGGGGCGGGGGTGAGCTCTTAAGAAGTTCATTAAGACAAGCTATACGGTTGACGATGAGCTATCCACATGCTACAAGAAGAATATGGCTTAAACTGTCACAATGAAATGCAATTAAAAATAAGAGGCAGGATTTTCCTTGATCATAGAGCCCGTTGATGGACCAATGATGAAGAAGACAACTCGGGCCATACATCGCACGGTACTGGGTATTGTAGTAAGGCAAATAGGTATTGATAAGAAATTCATATGTTCATATGTCGACCGAGGATATAGCCCATCATCAGGCATAAAACGGGTCGCTGACCCCCTTCTTCAAATGTTGGAGGGCGATGAACGGACAAAGTTACATAAGTAATCCAACTGATCGACAAGGACTGGTTAGGTTCCCAATTCGGACGATCGAGTAAACTTATAACAAATCACTGCTGCAGATATTGGACGCATAAGTCTCTCAGCATGTTCCTGTAAAGCAAGTATTCTATCCTATCAGGAGATTCAAATCCCGGCTTGGGAGGTGGCATAATACGATGGGATTCGGACGGAAGTTTCTGTCCGCTATAGGCACGAACAACTCATATGAGGGGAAGACTGTGTCGATTTCTGTGCTCTCCCCCAATAAAGTACATCATGGTTTCTCATCTACTTCATCTATTCCCATGATGAAGCAAATATAGTATATACTACTACACATTTTCGCACGTAGGACCGAATTGGAGGCGGATGCGCCTCAAAGTGCCTCTCCTCCCCAAGCAAATCAGACGGCCAGCCATTCTGCTCCTGGAAGTTTTCAAGCGGGTGCATTCTTCGGTGCCATTTTTGGGTTCTTCTTCGCCGAGTATTTTGGTCGGAAGCCCGTCATTATCGGATCGAGCGCTGTCTTTACCATTGGATCAGGCCTCCAACTCGTGGGACGTATTGATGAGCTCTACGCCGGACGGGTGTTGACAGGACTAGGAGTCGGATAACCCATCTCCGACCATTCCTTAGGTCTGAGGTTGACGGCCAACCTTTCAAAAGAGCATCCTCCACCATGATTCCCGTTTACACGCCGAATGTTCTCCAGCCCTCGTCCGTGGGCGCCTCGTCGGTTGCTTCGCGATCATGCTACAGGTGGCTCTTGTCTTCGGATTCTGGGTTAACTACGGCGTCGACAAGAATATACCGAGCACAACTGCTTCTTAATGGAAAATCCCCGTCGGCGTCCAGATGATTCCAGCTGGGCTGCTATTGATCTGCCTGTCATGGATAATAGAAAGCCCACGTTGGCTGGCTAGCAAGAATCGAATCGTCCAAGCACAGAAAAACCTCGCTTGGGTTCGCAATCTTCCATTCGACCACCCCTACGTGGTCAATGAGTTGACCGAAATTCAGGCTGCTGTCAACCAAGAACTTGAGATGAGTGGCGGAAGACGGACACTGTCACACATTGTGCGTGAATGTGCTAAGATACTGAACCTTTAGAGGGAAACTATGGTGCTTGAGAGAAGACGCTGACGTTTTACTCATTCTTAGATCGTGTTCACCGGAACCTCAGTCGGGCTCCTAGCGACCGGAGTGTATGGCCTAGTCAAAATGTGCACAACAACAGTATTCATGATCTGGATCGTGGATCGGTATGGACGTCGCGGTCCCTTACTAGTTGGCGCGATCGGTGCAGCAGTGGCGATGTTTTACCTGGCCATATATTCCCAACTAAGTCAGTCCTTCGACCAAGTTCCACCCAGCGACTCTGGGTCACGAACGGTGGTCGCAATGATCTACGTTTATGCAATTTTCTACGGCTTCTCCTGGAACAGCATACCCTGGATATTTGCATCGGAAATCCTTCCAACCCGCGTGCGAACCATCGGGATGATGTGTGCTGTGTGCATGCAGTGGCTGGCTTAATTCATCATTGTCTACTCGCTGCCTTACATGATTGCTTCTACAGAATATGGCACGTTCTATTTCTTTGGAGCATGTACTATCGTTGCTTTGGCCTTTGCGTACTTATTTGTTCCGGAAACGGAGGGGGTTCCGTTGGAGGATATGGGCATCTTATTTGAGGCAGATGTTAGTGTCTTTGCTACGAAAACCCTAAAGAATTATCTGGAGTTTCGACAGGCGGAGTCGAGGGTGGCTGCTGAAGCTCAGTAGCTCGGTTGGAGAAGCAGACTAGTTCTACCCATGTGGAGAATGTGTGAAGTCAAGGTCTATACTTTGGACGGTGGAGAAAGATGTATTCAAATGAGAATCCGCCAGCAATGAAGGGATATATCTTCCAAAATACTTCAATCTAATTTATGACTTCTGTTGTCGTCCAATTTTTCAGTAGCTATCTTTCTTCTCCAGTTTCCCTGCATATGTTCGCACCAGGAAATCCGTATCAGTGTCTGGCTCTTTCGAGCAAGCCATACTCGAGCAAGCTCTACGATATACTTTTTTTTTCCCTTCTTTTCCTCGCGGGGCTGGGGGTGACTATCCTCCCGGCGACAATGCCCCTTGACACAACGCCGGTAACGGCTCCGAAGCTGCTCCGAAAAAGTAGTTTCGGGCACTCCTCCGAACTTCCCCTCACCTCGGACTTCCTGCATTATCTCACTCGAAGGAGTAGCTCTCCAAGTCACTCATGGATGTTATTAAAAACTTGAGTGAGGGAAAGAAATTTCATCGCAGAAAAGGCCTCCGCAATCTGTCATAGAGCTCATTTTAATATATCTGTACTGTCGAACCTGCCGAACAGGGATTCGACCATGCCCCGATCTCTATCTCCTCAGGAACCGATCCCAAACCGCCTACATGGCCTAGTAGCTCTCATAACCGGAGCTGCAGGGAACATCGGCCTGGAATCTGCTCGGCGATATCTTCTAGAAGGCGCCAAAGTAGTGCTGGTCGACATCAGCTCACAGGGACTGGCTCAGTCAAAAGAAGAGCTAATAAAAGCGATCGCAGATTTGCCAGATGGGAAGAGCCTGAATGCGAACAATTTGATCCTTACCGCTCAAGCAGATGTCACATCTGAAGGAGATGTTGAGCGATATGTTAATGAGACTATTCGGAAATTTGGAAAGCTTGATGTTGCACTTCTTTGCGCGGGCATATCGTATTCGTCGACGAGTATTCTGGATACTGATGTTGACCAATATGATAAGGTAATGCAAGTGAATTGTCGTTCTGGTGAGTACTCCTCTTGAGATTAGTCTGAAACGTTTAGAATGAGCATCAAATTTTATGTATCTTATATAGCCTTCCTGGGCGTTAAACACTGCGGACTAGCAATGCGAGACTCCGGTAACGGAGGCAGTATTATCCTGGTCTCTTCAATTGCTGGACTTCGCGCAACACCCGGTCTATCAGCATATTCTACTTCCAAGTTTGCTCTTCGAGGTCTATGCATCACTGCAGCTGCAGAGCTGGGCCAGTATAACATTCGTGTTAACACGGTCCACCCGTGCGGCGTCAATACACCTATGTTCCTCGCCGCGTGGTCCGAAGAGAAGATGAAAAGTATGTTGGATACTGTTCCTCTGGGTCGGTGGGCAGAGGTCGCAGATATTGCGGCGTTGGTATCGTTCCTGGGAAGTGCGGATGCTCGGTTCATGACAGGGGGAGCCTTGAAGATCGACGGTGGTATTGTGATGTTCTAGAAAATGGAAGAGATAATCTACTTTATAATCTAATATGCTGCCGTCTCGACTTGTAACAGGTAATCCCTCAGACAAAAGCGCCTTGATGGCCATCTTATATCTCTCTGTTCTGCATATATTCCAAAAAAAAAAAAAAAAAAAAAAAAAAAAAAAAAAAAACGGCAACATCTATTGGCATCAATCTAAGTCGAACTTTCCAAAACGGAGGTCAGTTTTCGCATAGACTCCACGGATCGGCTAACATTGTCACTCGGACGCCTCGATTCATCCCTCATTCTCCAGTCGAATATTTCAATCGAAATCACACCTTTCCACCCTTTTCTATCCAGCCACGCGTGAGTAATCACTGGAACAGGAAAGTAAGCCCCTCCTCAAGGGGGAACGGGCGCATGTTGCGCGACCAAGACAAAGCTGGAGGAAAATCTTCCTGATAGAAGTGGTGTCCCGGCTGCAATGAAGGGACAAATGTCTCTCCATCGGAAAGCTGTACATAGAATATTTTGTCCAACGGGCAAGTCTCAACGAATCTATTAACCGATTCCCGCAGAGCCAAATATCTTCACGAATACCACTCTCGACCGCATTATCTCCTCACAACCGAGCAGTCACATGAAAAGAATCGAGGCAAAGACCAAAATCTTCGCGGTTCATGTCTTGGACCATCCGGAGCGATTCCTCCGAGTATCGATATAGGTACCCCAAGCCACAGCCTCGTAGGCAACGCCAACCGAGTACGAAGCTGCTAAGTCACTGAGTGCTTGGAGATCTTCCACTATGCCTACTGAAAACTATCAGGTCGGGGTTTCGCAGTATGGGGATCTTATGCGGACGTATATTACAGACACAGTTGAGAAAGACTTCGTTACAGTAACATTGCCAGCTGAATCCTCGGACGATCCTCATGCTATATACACATTCTTCAGGACGAGGTGTTTGAATTGACTAAAGAGTTCCAGGCAGACTTCGAATAGGTGCAGCGACAATTTCTGTGACAGGCATAAATCTAAATTTTGTAGTGGGGATTTCGCGTGCAGCCTAATGCCGCAGGAAAGGTCTGGTCGGTGCTGGTGGCAGTATCCAACAGCGTTTTCTCTTGGGCGGTCGAAAACCTCGTTGGATATGACCAAACATGCCCCCAACAGCGCGTCGAAATGCGAATAAATCAATAGAGAAAGAATGAAGAGTCCTATCGGTCTACACCTGGAGAATTCTCTGCCCGAAGTGCACCAGGCTGGATCCTGACATGTGTATATAGACTATTTGGGGCATAGTATGAAAAGGCGTAAATTCCAAATGCTTTGTCCTTTCGCTTGAAGACTTCTTAATACTATAAATATTAATGAAAATGACTTGCAGTTAGCGGACTGCGAGTGAACCTTGTCTTTGCCTGATGGTTGTTGATCACCGCCGTACTTTACTTATCCCAGCAAAGTTACTGCTGTATTCAAATAATACGCTCCACGGCCCAGTTGTCCACTCCACCCTGTAGCTTCTCGCGATCCTCAAAGAATGGCTTGAACACCGTTTGGATGATGGTATCAGGATGGTAGCCCTCGGTGTAGCCACCAGTTTCCGGGTCAACAATGCGTGCGCGGATCAGCGGCATACCGACCACAACCCGAGCCTCCTGCGGGAGCGTCTGGGCGAAGAGACGGCTGATAGTTTGTGATGCGGCCTTGGCAGCAGACAATGAAGAGCAGGCAATCTGCGGCTCTCTGTCGAGCGTGCCGCCGGTGACCAAGAAGAGAGGCCACTCACCCTTGGGGATATTGTCGGTGTTGGCGTTGCGGGTGAACCATTGGCCTGCGACAAGGGTACCCACTGCAGAGACTTGGAGGTCGAGATTCAGCTCCTCCGGAGTGACTTTAGTGATGTGCGAGGGGGCGACACGGGCGGCATTGTAGTTTAAGACATCCAGCTTGCCACCAAACTGCTGAGCACACCAGTCCAGGGTGCTTGTCAAGCTGTCGGGGTTGCCGGCATCAGCGGTACGGTAGATCACTTTGGCGTCCGCGTTTGTCTGGGCGGCTTTGACTTCGTCGGCGATTTTAGACAGGCTATTCTCAGAGCGAGACACGAGGGCAATGTTCCATCCTACACTTGCGAGCCAAAGGGCAAGCGAGCGGGACATGGTCGATCCCACGCCGATGATGGCGATCGAGCGGTTCGAGCTAACAGTCATGGTTGAGAGTCTCGGTAGTAGCGATGATCTTGATATAAGGTTCTGAAGGTGTAATCCAAAGAAAAACTAAATACTTTTATGAGTACCAGACGCAACTCATAAGGAAAGAGAGTTATTTATCACGTCGACTAGGGCTTCTGTTCGAATGTTCGAGTTCATGCAAAAAATGGCCGTCACTGTATTGGAAATATCTCCGAGACGGTTTGGTGATCCCCCGATGAAGCATATCATTATATAAGTGCGGGGTCTCAGTTGCGACGGTGTCAGAAATTAGTGCGTTGGGCTCAAAGCATCCTGATATTGGACAGTCTCTGTCACGTGTAATGATATTCAGTGTCAGACTAGTTAGTTCTTACTCTATAACAGCTTTCTCTGAATTACTATCAGCAAGTATGACTACCTTTTAGGGCCTTTTAGTGGCTTTTGGAGTGTCTTAAGGTATTAGAGAATTTGAAATATGTTTAATATGTTCATTAAAGAGAATTCCATTCCAAATTTAGAGCTGACTGAATATCAGATATAGTAATAAATTACATGTATGATACATTTTAGTATCAGGATCTGCCTGACTTTGACCGTACTGATTTTCCAGCTCCGTTCTGGCACTGTCGCAGTTATTTCTGACCACGTCACATGTGGGTGCACCATAAGTGCGACACACCCGGATAGGTGGACAATAACATATCAGCATATCCACCAATACTAAGTTACATACCAACTTCTAGAAAACATCATTGTCAGGTACCTCTTATGCTTCGCCGAAATGGCTAATATGCATCTGGTTCTTCTGAAGTTCAAGCAGGATGTCGCTACAGCTACCCGGCGGGAAGTAAGTGGCATTATTGCTCGTTATATTCTTGGACAGTAGTCTAACTTACATGTTGATGCATAGAGGATGAAAATAACAAGGTCGTACACGTTGCCGGGTTACAATGTGTCTGGTTCAAATAGTTCCAGATACCAAATGAGCTCTATGACGTACAAATCTACTTAGTTCTGGCCCCAAAGCAGCTATCCTGAACCAGAATCAGCTTTCTATATCTACCTTTCCTACAATAACTAGTTTCTAAGCGTGTGGTAGGATCTACTTGTCACAATAGAATGCCTATTTACTAGGTAAAAGAAATCATATACGATTTACTATTTATTGTAGATATAGCTGAAATTGTCAGAAATACATGTCTGACAGTGCCATTGCCTATAATGCCCCCATAGTTATTCCGCCAAAGAGCATACACTTAGTCAGTCGCCCTGCTTGACGTTGGTTCGGGGTTTTCGCTCTGAAACAGCCTTTGGATCTCTTCCAAGGAACGGCCTTTTGTTTCGGGGTACATGTAGTACTCGGTTATGCCGTATACAATAAGGACTTTCAGAAATACAAAATACTTCCACGAGATAGTTTCGAGGGCTATCGGATTGTCCAGCGAATTGAACGAGGCAAACAGACAGGATGAAATCCATGTAATACTAAGCCCTCGGATACGGAGACTAAATTGCCATATCTCACAAGGATAGGCAATGAGTAACGGGATCCTGGGAACATAGTGAGCAACAGCGTTTGTTTAGTAGGCGGTAGGGGTGGATGGCCTACAGGGCGATGCCGTAGCTAGCAAAATAAATGAACAGCAATGGAATCACAGCAGTTCCCACCGAGCGTTCATGATGTTCTTCAAAGCTCGCCGTGAATGCTGTTATCATAATATAGCTGATGGTCATGATGATTGCCGATGAGTGAAACAGAGGACGCTTGCCCACTAGGTCCACCAGGAGGGCCGCGCCAATTCCGCAGATAAGATCCCATATCTGAAGGCAAGCTGTAATGATAAGTTGCTCGCTTGACTTTGGTGATGCCGACGGCTGTGAGGACCTCTGTAAGATAAAACGAGACAACCCCATTCTCACCCCATTGGCTGAACAGGGCTATGGATCGGGTGATTACGAGACGGCGACGATTGGCCTTTGTCTTCAGCATATCGAGGTAGCTTGTGTGTTGTACAGACTCGGTCTCAATCTTGAGAGCAGCCTGAATCTCATGCATTTGCTAAGAGACAAGTGGGTTGTTCCTATCACCCCCAGCATGCCACTGTGTGAGAATTGCGTGGGCCTCCTCAGCTCGTCCCTGCGATAGGAGCCACCGAGGACTCTCTGGACAGAGCAGGAGACCAGGCAGTGCACAAAGTGGTAAAATAAGTTGCGGGAGCGATGGAATTGCCAGCTCCATGAGGAAGAGTTCCTCAGCATGCCGTAGATAATCCAAGCAGCGAGGGTACTTCTGACATAATAACCACATTGATAGAAGGAGCTAGTCGTTGCTCGATGCGACAGGTATGCAATCTCTCTGACGAGTACTGGAGCATTACAACTCCAAAAGCAGGCTGCACACCCTGCCAGACCACGTCCAACAATGCAGCCGGTCGGATTCGGCGAGAGTCCTTGTAGTATTGCTCCGGCAGTCACGAATAGAAGCCCGACATAGAGACATATCTTTCGCCCAAACCGGTCGGATATATATGGAGCAACGGTGTAAGCTAGAAGCAGTCCTATCCAATATACAGGGTGATAATCCCATCCAGGCTCCTGTGGGGCTTGACATGAAGGATACCCAGGGGGGTAAGGACTGCAAACTATTGATCATACTCAAGTCGTATCCATTTGCCGAAGCTGCCGGTGCCGTTAGCCATGGATCTGGTTACCACTTATCCTAAATCTTGAGGAAGCACGGCGCACCTACGGAACAAGACAAGACTGAGAGCACAAAATTTCAGCCTCACCAGATGAGGTGCAGTCCATGGAAATGGTGATGCTATCAGCATTTCGTCCTCCAAGTCCGCCCCCATATCAGAGAGGTAGTTGGCGGTTGGGATATCTTTGGATTGACCCATGAAGGAATATGCGAAGTTGATGATAACCTACAGCAACAGATTCAAAGTCGCTTGGCCATTTTTGAGACCATCCCAATTCTATTTGTAGAGTAGGGACGGATGCTCCATGTAATAAATAGACCATCGAATCAGCGACTGATAAAACATTAGCCAATCGGGGAGTTGCGGCGTTAAGCAATACATTATCTGATGACACCAAAGTGGACCGATAAGGACTCAGACTGCGGAGTATGCGCTAAGAGCACAACGTCGACAGTGACAAAAGTGGGTCAAATTCACCTCAGCTCCGTGACTCCCCGAACCCATCAACAAATACTATAACCTAGCTACTATACTTTAGCTTCAAATGACCGGGGACTAGTGATGGCGAAGCATAGAAAGAGATACAAATACCCATGGGATTACAGCCATACTTCAGCCCAGCCTTTCCAGTGCAATCTCCCTGATCACTCCTCCACCACTAATAGATCTGCAGACATGGCTGAATCTCAAAAGATGAAGGTGGCCCTTGTGCGCTGCCCGCCGCCAAACTGACCACTTCCTTTGCAGAACCGCGACTGGACCGGTATGAATATCGACATCTCACAAACTACTGAAATGGGTCTACGCCTAATGCGCGAAGATAAAGACGCTGGTGCCACCTTGATTACGTTTCCTGAACTTTGGTTCCCCGGGTCTGTTTCCTTCATGTGCCCTCTTACCTCGCATGACACATTTCACTAACTCTACTTACGCAGATTTCCCAAATGGAGGGAACAGAATGACTGGAAGAAGACACATCTGGCCTCCTACATTGAGAACTCTCTGGAAATTGGGAGTCACGAGTGGAATACGTTGGTCGATGGAATTGTCCGTGGGTATCTGGGCGGCTGTCGCATTTTCCGAAAGATCTGGAAACTACATCTATATGGCCCAGGCACTGATCTCTAGAGATGGCGAGGTGGTTATGCATCTTCGGAAGCTTAGACCATCTGGTTCAGAACGGGGTATGTTTAGCGATGGCACGGTCGACCAGCTCAGAGTGGTGAACACCCCCCTGGGTCGTGTTGGCATGCTTCAGTGTGGCGAGTATGGTTATCCCTGTTTCCTTCCAAATTCTATAGTGACGGTGTGTATATACCAAGTTGCTAACTGATTATGACAGACATTTCTACCCAAGCATGAATTTCGTCATGGCTGCCCAGCGCCCGAAGCTCCACATTGGCGCATGGCCCTTTGCCCTAAATTTCGATGACGACACCTATAGCATTTTCTACAATGCCACCCTCGTGACCAGGGGCGCTGGCTCTTATGCTCTCAACAGCGGCGCATATGTCCTGATGCCGTCGGTCGGCTACTGCTTCATATACGATGCCCTGATGCGTATTGTAGCCGCCATGGAGAACGATGTTGACTACCAGAAGCACTCTATTTTATACCACACATTAGACATCAGTGACCTACATGACACCCAGGATCATGACCCCGATGCACAAGCTTCTTGGGCTGTTTTGCAGCAGCTCGACGATGCATTTCCAGCGACCATACCTCACGAGCAGGGCTCGTTGGTTCCACGACGTGAGACAAGTATCGAATACCTAACTTCCACCGATATGAAATGGTCTGAAAGTGCCCCTGGAACTCCCTGGCCAGAGAATCTTGCCCACTAGCCAATAATCGCAAGGCAACTGCATTGGTTGTCCTCTTGTCTTGGCATGTCAGTTAGCCAGTTTTGGTGCGCTTGGAGATGGTAATACAGCATCTAACCTTCCCTTTTCATCCTGAGTCAACGGACTAGCTAAGATGGGTAACCTACTGAGGTACGACAAATTAGTGCTGCGTACATTTCTTGTGAATAATGGATTTCATATTTTTGGGGGACAACCCTTTCTGATACAACAAAAACTTGATCTTTCTGAACACAAAACGTGGACGAAACATATGGAAAGTGAAGATGCATGTAGGAATCCTCATTTTCTTAAAGCATGATAGATTTTCAGGCAGAATCTAGAACGCAGTAGTCGACTGGCAGGGGCAATGGGAAGGCGATTTCATTTCGCAGTGTAAATTCAAAGCGTAAGCGGGAAGTAAGATAAGGGGAACAGAAAATCTAAATAGGAATAAACAAAGGCTTCCTAACCGTGTTTGGCCAATCTGACTATTAGACCTTATCACTGCCGTAGATCCTTAGTACTTAGCCTCCACTTCGTCCCATCCGAGCTTGGAGTTTGGGGAGGTACGTACACACTTCCGGGAGAGTGAAGGATTACATCACGTACCAGCAAATACAGGGTGTCTCAGCGAGAAGCGAGGGTATTCACTCGCAAACGGGCTGTGGTAACATGCAGGGTCTGTCGCTCGCGAAAGATCAAGTGCGACAATGCTCGTCCGACCTGCTCTTCGTGCCAGATCTCTGAGTCGCATGGCGTATATCAGGACCACGTAGATTTCTCAAAGTATGCTGCTTCTCCCTCTAAAGTTCTATTTACTACATACGCATGAATGGATGTGTTCACACACGTGTGTGTATCGACGTTTGCTACAACATGTTCACATATAACGCTTACTAGATTTGATCCCGCCACCATTGCAATCTCGATCGCTTAGCCGAAATCCAACAGTCTCTTAATTCCTTAGGACCTGAAGGGGTGACGGCAGCCCTGCCTCTGAAAGGTCCGCCAAATCAATACACGGCTGAACTAAGCCCACAAATGCTACATAATGTGTCTCTGAAGATCCCTGCAGCCAGGATATGTCCTGATGCAATTATGTCGTGGCCTATTTTTGAAGAGGTTCGCTTGCAAACAACTTTGATCAGTCTCACTCTCGCGGACCAAGATCATGGTCTCAAAGAAGTTGCCAACAACGATGTGAATTTGGCCCTCATACCAGATCTCATTGACCGCTTTCTGCAGTTTGTGCACGTTAAGAATCCCGTGGTGAATACGGTTGTCCTACGTCAATCGGCCGTCAGGGTCGAAGTGGGCGAATCCTCTCGGAACGCTTATTCCTGTTTAGTGGTGTGTAGATGGATCCCCCCTCCCCAGAATTGCTGTGCAATATAGACCATCACCGTCATCTCCGATCTCACAGCCACGCTAAGAATGTCTGTTCAAGTTCCTCGCCTGCGCCTTAGGCTGTTTAGCAGGTCCACTCCGCTATGATGATCGCTCGGCAGAACGTGATGACCATGCCGAATCACTTCGCGCTACAGGAGAGCAGTTCTATCAGAAAGCGTTGAAGAGGCTCTCCCTACCCGGCGATCGTAATTCGACCACGCAATGCTGGTTCCTTAGCGGGGTCTACCAGATGTAGAAGCTAAATGCCGCTAGAGCATGGATGGACTCTTCTCGAGCCTCCGCCATTCCGAGTCTTCACTCGCGACACAGGGAAGCAGCTGTGGGTAATGACTCGAACGGGAGGCATGTAGATCCGGCAGAGCTGAGACTTTACTGGACATGCTGGAAGTCAGAATGGTGAGTTCTATCCTTCTTTTCTCTTCTGCCAGTCTAGTAACTGCTCGATCTAGGATGAGGCTAATTTTTGTGATCTATCCAGTGACTTGCGCGCGGAGCTCGACATACCCGATTCAATGTGAGTGAGTTCAACGTGTCCGACGGGTACCCAATACCCTCGTCCGTAAGCGCGACCGATTTCGAAGCAGTGCTGTCCGGGACGCCAACAGACTCAGAAGACTTGTCACACCTCTGGAAGTTGTCCACGTATTACTACTTAGCAGATGTTGCACTCATGCGCGTAGAAGCGCAAATACTTAATTTTATGTACAGCACTAACGACTCGCAATGGTCACCAGCCAACCTATCTTACATGCGTCGGACAGCCGCGGATCTCGAATCCTCACTGGTAAGTTGCCGGAAACAAATTTCTAACTTTGGTAACGGGGTAGGGGCTCTTATATATACTTTTATTGACTGCCTGGTTTCCGACTTCAGGTCCAGAAACCGACCATCCATAATCCACGTCGAAGAATGGGACTCGGCACCCAGGTTTGAGCTGACGTACAACCTGCAAGCACGGGTTCTGCAGCTGAGATCGTGGCTCTATCGGCCCTTTGTATACTACGCAATTCATCATGACGATGGGCAGACTAATGAGAACGAGGAGGCTATGAGATTCATGCGGAAAGCTATCGAGTGCAGTTTCCATATGATCAACTCCAAGGCGACGCAACACCGACATCATGGAACCTGGTTTGTCGCCCGCGATGTACTCAGTTCAGCCCTGTTAATCATTGCGGCTGCCAAGGCGGACAAGGTACTCGTGGACTATTTGGCAGATTGGCCGGACTTGTTAGACCAGGCGATAAGGTCTTTGACTCAATGGGCTTTGGAGGCGCGGGATCTGGCTTGCGCGGCTGTTGTTCTTGCTAATCTCAAGAAAAAGTTGTGTACTTGAGATGATTGAACTATATACAATAATTTATTATTCTCGAAGCTTGAAGGAGCTAGGATAAGAAAATGAAGACGCGACCATTTCGTCATAAATGTAAGCATCAGAAACCGTTGAAACGTTGAATCGCCCCAAAACAGACCGACTGCCCAAGTTTACAGCCAGTATAACCTGTTCCGCACTGGCGAAGGAAACGCTGGCAGTGGCTGATGGTTAAACTCACCACGTCATAGAGCGACACACTTTACAAACTCTACACGGCTATCGCAAAGTCATCCTAGTCATCCTAGTCATCCCGATAGTGACTGCTAAGGTCCCACAAAACCGTGCGAACTTTCATCTGTTTCATCACCATACTAACGGCCACTAGACCCACCTTCTTGAGCCATTGCAGAATACTATGGTTTTCTACTCAATGCTGTTACAAAGAGCACGTGTCCTCTTGGGCATCAGCCCTACGAAAGCTTCTATACCACGTGCCGGTAAAGCGGCAAAACTCCGTCCCTATTGGGTAAGTCCGAGAGAAAACAGGTAATCCGTCCCACTCCGTCTGTCGGAATCCCAGACAAGATATCTCATCGGAAGCCCTACCAGCCAAGCACCAGTCAAATAGTGCTTGGTATCAACGTGGATGAAATGGTGCGCTTCAATGAGCATCGCATCTTATCCACGGCTCCACGCACGTGAACCCGCATGCGGCAATGATTGGTTCGGCTCCACCGAGCTTTATCTGATGCGCCAATTGCATGAACGCATGATAACAAGGATGAGATCCCTATTGCGACCGGCTTCTGATTGGTAGTCACGCTTGCATACGCATGTAACCATCCTAGTGGGAAGAGGCTACACGCCCAGATAAAAACCTGCCCTCGTGCTCATCCTCCTACAGTGCAATGAGATTTATTCCAATTCATCTCTCACTCGTGTTCTTTTCTTTGCAATATTGCGATGTCTAGTGAGATTTCGTGGGAAAACTCTCAGTCGAAGGATGTCGGCGTCCTGGAGACACACATCCAGGGCGTTGATACCTCCGACGCTGATCCTTCGGCTGAGGTGTCCCGCAAGAGACAGAGTCTCTCTGACTTTTTGACCATTGTTAGTTTCCTTCTTTAGCTGCAAATCTACTTTGATTCAATATCTGCTTGGACAATGTTACTGATAATGTTTCTAGCTTGCTAGTGGATTCGCCCTCATCAGCGATGGGTACCAGAATAACCTCATGTACTTACCCCGCAAACGATGGGCCGATGTACCCCGCTGATAGTATGCAGGACTATGACCAATGTGCTTCTAAAGGCAGAATACCCCAAGCAATACGTTTCGGCTGTATCGACACGTGTATCAAATGCCCTGCTTGTTGGGGAAGTTATTGGTCAGATTGTGATCGGGTTTGTCTATGGCATCCTTTTCACACACATAGAGGAACCTGCTAACTCCACGCCTAGGTTGACATGCGACTACATGGGACGCAAAGCTGCCATGGTTTTCACAACTCTAATGATCGTAATCGGCGGTATCTTGGCCACCGCATCACACGGTGTCACTATCAACGGCATGTTCTGGATGCTGACAGTTTCACGTGGTATTATTGGCTTTGGTAGGTGCTCCTTCTTCCAGTATGCTGGATTAATGAGTGCGAATAATCTCAGGAACCGGTGGTGAATATCCCGCATCGTCAGTTTCGGCATCCGAAACCGCCAATGACTTGACCTTGAAGCAGCGCGGTCCAGCCTTCATCATGGTGACAAACTTTCCGCTGTCATTTGGTGGTCCCTTTGCTGTTCTGGTTTTCTTGATTGTATTCTCAGCATGCCAGCAATCCCACTACAGCACCGTCTGGCGCGTCTGCTTCGGTATCGGGTGCATCTGGCCTCTTTCCGTGTTCTACTTCCGATGGCGCATGCTGAACTCAGCGCTCTATCGTCGCGGAGCCATTAAGAAGCAAGTCCCGTACGGCCTGGTAATTCGCTATTACTGGAAATCACTCATTGGAACTTGCGGTGCCTGGTTCCTCTACGGTACGTACTCTTCACCATCGCCTCATCTGTCAGCCACATCTAACCTTAGACAGACTTCGTCACCTTCCCTAACGGCGTATTTTCCGCCAGTATCATCTCCTCCGTGGTCGGCGACGACTCGATCCTCAAAACCGGCGAATGGCAGCTCCTCCTCGGAGCCATTTCCCTCCCCGGTGTCTTCCTCGGCGCTCTCTTCTGCAACAAACTCGGCCGCAAAAACGTAATGATGATCGGATTCGGCGGCTACCTCATTTTCGGTCTGATTATCGGGTGTGCATTTGAGAAAATCACCAAGATCATCCCCCTCTTTGTGGTCTTCTACGGACTCATGCAGAGTTCGGGCAACTTTGGCCCAGGGAACATGCTCGGCTTACTTTCGTCGGAGCTGTACGCCACCGGTGTTCGGGGTACTTGCTATGGATTGTCTGCGGCTGTGGGAAAAGCAGGCGCTGCTATTGGTACCCAAGCATTCACTCCCATTGAGGATAATCTGGGTAAGAAGTGGACGTTTATCATTGCGGCTATTTGTGGTGTTGTGGGAATTCTGGTGACTTATTTCTTTGTTCCGGACATTTCGGGTGAGGATTTGAGAATCCGTGATGAGAGATTCCGGGCCTACCTTGTATCGAAGGGGTGGGATGGTGCCATGGGTGAGGATGATATGCAGGCCTTGGCGGATGAGGGCATTCCGCCGTCTCTCAGGGAGGAAAAGTGATAATGCTTTCCTTGTTGGGCATAGGGGGGGAATTAATGGCAGAGAATGTGTTTACAAAATTTTATTGGATTGATAACTTTTATGAGCCGACCATAATGATGGATCACACGATAATGTTCCATGCATCTGAGCAGTAGCTTAACGAAGTATAAGGAGGGTGACTGCCGCTGCGAAGGGGGTGGACGATCCTTATAAATTGCAACCCCTTCGAGGGTCTGTGAGAGCGGAGTGATCCCCTAGTAGTTCCCTATTATTTGATTTCCTGGCAAGAAAATTATCCTCCATCCTTCATCCCTTGATTGGTATGCACTCCAAGAACCTCCAGTGAAACAAGGGGTTTATCTGGAAATGTTTTCCGCTCCCCAACCACACCCCTGGGACCTGCATACCCGCCCTGGCATGCAACGGTTGCTAAGGGGTGTGGGCCTGACAGCAGCACCGTTGGTGGAGTTTTTTCATGTTGTTGTGAGGAACTAACACCCACTTACTGCACTCCAGCTGCAACCCTGCAGCTGTTTCTCAGTATGCAGGTTCACCTTCCCCTGCCAGTCTTTCGTAGCTAACATGGTACATAAGAATAACAAAGCGGACTATAGCATGTTCAGCAGGATGTTACACCTCCGAGGAGCTCACCAATGTAGTGGTTCTAGTTGACAAATCCTGTCCCAGGTTCTACACTACACCATAACATTCCTGCCTTGCCGATCGGGCTCACCACCATGGAGTCTTCCCTTTTCTTTGGGGTATACCAATAAGAAATTCTGTCAAATTCTCTTTAACCATTACCACCGACCCACTGTACCAGAAAGTTAACAGCGAAGGGCCAGTCGGGTCCTCCCTCTTCTTATATCCCCAAGGAGGTTCTGTCACTTAAACATCTCCCTCGATAAGATAGTCCCCACGATTTCCTAGACGGGAACAAGTAAACCGGGTAAGGAATCCATAACGTTACACAAAGTCTCACGAGGCAGATGCAGGGTCTGTTTAAATTTCAATCCCTCTGTTAGCCGGAAATTGGAGTTTTGTCAACTTTAGTTCTTCTTTCTTTACTTTTCTACAGGGTGTATCTCACCCGGTTTTTGTAATCACCATCAGACAGTCACAATGAAGATAAACACGGGCACTTTCTGGGCCCTCATCCCAAGCTATATTTCTGTGGCAGCTGCATCATGCTATGCACCGGATGGCTCACAAGTGGACAGCTCCATATACCAGCCATGCGTCTCCATCTCGGGTGTACATTCGATGTGCTGTAAACTCAATGATGCGGATCCAGATACGTGTGATCCCTCGGGACTTTGTCAGACAAGTGAAGGAGCATACTATCGGGAGTTCTGCACGGATCAATCGTGGAACTCGACGAATTGCTTGCCAAAGGACATCTGTGGTAATCAGGTCAGTCTCTCCCCTCTCTTCATGGGACGAACTAGCAGCTGATTATAGCGACAGAACGGCGGAAACTCCGACTGGACCTACCAGCTGACCAACTGCGGCGACGGATCCTGGTGCTGCGGTAGTACCACTGCCTGCTGCAACACATACGAGACGTTTACTCTTGATTCAGCTCTCTTCAAATTCTCTTCTAATGACGGCTCGAATTCTAACTCAAACTCCGGCTCCAACTCCGACTCCAAATTTGGTTCTAGTTCAGGTTCCGGTTCCGATTCAAATTCCGTCTCCGACGGTTCTGCTACCTCTGCACCGACAACAACAGGAACTGGAACCCCCCTAGATGACGGTAGCAGCGGTATCAGTAGCGAAGAAGATCAATCCGATTCTGAAAAATCAAAGAGGCTTGCGATCGGACTCGGTGTTGGACTACCATTGGCATGCATAGCCGTGGCTATGCTGGGGGCTGGATATGTCTGGGGCAGAAGGGATATGAAGAAAGAGTTGCAGCCGAAGTTCCAACCTCGTATTATAAATCTTCCGCTGGAGAAGCCAAAAGGTGAGATAGGGTGTCCGCGTCCGGCGGATGATGATTCGAGCGTGTCTCATTGTTTGGAGATAGTGCGGAGCCCATAGATATGAGATGAAGGGGTGATGGAAAGGAGTTTCCTTGGGGGTTAGGGTGGCTGTCTGTTTTATCTTATGCTTTCTTCTGTTTTGCTTTCGCCGGGCTATGGCTGTCCCCGGTGGTGTGTCTCAATATCCCATGATGTAGTGTCTAATAGTAAAACGATACCTTGTTCGCAATCGAATCTGCAACTTTGCTCCGATTCTCTATCACGTCTTATCTATAATTAAGTTCATGTCTGTCGAGGTCAAGTGTCATACATTGCCGGGTTGGGACCTGCCTCCTACAGCATAGCTTCAAGCAGGGAGCACCTATCTACGTAATAGTGACAAGAACTTTACTTCAACTCATAACAGCATACACCTCCGCTAAACGCAACACTAATCCTACAATCTGCGCCAACTCATCCTTGCATTAGACCGTGACAGCTGCAGCCAAGGCAAGGCTAGATCGTAGCCTTATCCCACACCCCTTTAGCCGGCGCACCACATATGAGCTACCTATCCACCTCAGCACTCGGCGCTTAACTCTCCCCAATATATCCATACACCAACCATACAGCATATATAACCGCTTGCCAACAAGAACCCGAAACATTTATGAACTACGTTCCCAAAATTCCCAAATGCTTCAGACACCCATCCTAATGCATTCCACACCTTCTATATCTATATATATATAACCCCAACCCCATCTCCACCACGACTACTAACCACACCCCCTCACAATGCCCCGATCCACAGAACCAAAAGAGAATCTCCCACCTCTCCACACCTACACAATCGCCTACATCACCTCCCTCCCCAAAGAACAAACCGCCATGCTCGCCACCCTCGACACCATCCACAACCAGCATACCCCCACCCCCGCAAGCGACAAAAATACCTACACTCTGGGCTCCATACCACCGCACAACATCGTCCTAGTCTGCCTTCCCACCATGGGAACAACCTCCGCCGCGAGCGCCATGACATCGCTTCTGCACACGTTCCCGTCCATCAGGTTCGTGCTGCTCGTTGGGGTGGCGGGCGGTGTTCCGAGCAATGGGGTGAGGCTGGGTGATGTGGTTGTTAGTGTACCGGTTAGTGGTGGGTATGGGGGCGTGGTGGGATGGGATATGGGGAAGTTAGTAGCTGGGGGGAAGATAGCAATGCAACATGCTGGAGGGAGCTTGAACCGGCCGGGGAGTAAGTTGCTTGGGGCGGTGAATCGGTTGAGGAGCGAGTATGAGTTGTATGGGGTTGGGGTGGGGAGGGTTCTGAGGGATTTGGAGGTGAGGGGAGGGTTGAGTCTGGGGAGGGAGTTTACGAGGTGTGAAGGGTTGAGGGATCCGGTTGATTTCGGGGATAGGGACGGGGAAGAACGGAGGTGGTGGCTGTGGGGTGTTCTGGGGAGGATGGTTTGGAGGCTTATTGGTGCTGTTATGGTAGGTGTTTTTGGGTTTGGGTTGAGGGGTGTGAAGATTGGGGTGGAAGCGGGGAGGAAGGAAAGGGCGAGGGGTGTGATTGGGGAAGAGAAAAAAGGTAGGAAGCAGGTGAATGTGCACTACGGCCTTGTTGCGTCTGGGAACTGGGCTGTGAGGGATGCCAAGGCTCGAGATGCTCTTAATAAGAGATTTGATGGGCAATTGCTCTGTATAGAGAACGGTGGAGCTGCCGGGGTGATGAATGAGATTCCGAGCATTGTCATCTGTGGGATTTCAGATTATGCGGACGCGAGCGCGAATGAGGACTGGCAAGCATATGCTGCTACTGTGGCTGCGGCTTATGCGAAGGAGCTGCTGATGTTTCTACACCCGTGTGTTGACGATATGGAGATGCTTTGTCGTTCTAGGGCTGGGGTTGAGAATGGTAAGTGGGTACTTTTCTCCATTTTTCATATCTGAGTAGAGAAACATTAACTGACCTCCCATTTTCGAGGATGTACCTCTAGAAAGGGAATATATAGGACAAATAGGGTCCGCTCCCTCCAGAGACCATAAATGCCCTGTCTTTAGTCAGGGTACACCTCCTCAGTACAGCTTACAGTGATTCTGCAACGCCGAGGTTAGAAGATATCCAAACACTAGTGTGTGTAGAATGATTCGGAATGAGTGGTTCTACACAAGCCAAACCATCGCCATGTTAACCCTTGCATCATCTGCAAGACTGACCGATCTACATGTACTGCAGAAGAAGCCTAATACAGCTTGGAATTGCCTATATTGGGAAACGTATCCAATCAATCCAATTGTGGTTTGGTGGAGCTGTCTTACTTTCTACCCGAGAGGAACAAGAAGAAAAAAAGAAAAAAAAAGAAAAAGGCAAAAAGAATGGGACAAGCCGGGCTTGAACCGGCCACCTCCAGATCTTCAGTCTGACGCGCTCCCAGATGCGCCATTGTCCCCTTGTTCTTGAAAAGTGCTCATAACATATGCTATACAAAGCAGCGCTGGTAGCGAAGCAATTGATCAGATAACCCGATTGCAGTAGCTGCGAGATAAACTTTTGGGTGACTTCGCAGATCCATGATTGTCACGCCAAGAAAATACCCGATTGTTCTCGACTGCTCGGTCGGAGCTAAATGAAGGTAGTGAGCCTCGTCTTATTGGTCGATGCTAGAGAGTATGCAGGATAAACTGGCAGCGATTTTATCATGTGTGCTTCTTGATCTATAATGAGAGTACCAGGAGTGTCATCCACAGCTTAATAATAGAGTGAACATAATAGCATGGAGGAATATCTCTTATTAACAGCCAATATCTGCGCTAAGCAGCGAAAGAATACATAAGTGAAGCGGAAGGAAGCCAAATACAACCAGAACGTGGAGCATGACGTCCCAAATCCAACGAGATATCTATACGTGTGACAGGCAAGCAGCAGCCTACCATCCGTAAGCCGACTTTGTGGGTACCGAGCTCCACGCAGCCTGCGGTGTAATAGAAGCTGTCTTGGTGTGGGTTGCAGTCTTGGTGGACGTGACAAATTTGGTGGTCTTGACCGTCTTGGTTGACTCTGCAGTCTTAGTCGTGTGGGCAGATTTGGTACTGGTGGACTTGGAAGTTTCTGTGGTCTTCGTCTTTGATGAGGTCTTTGTGGAAGCCTTGGTCGATGTCTTCGTAGAAGTTTTCGTCGAGGTCTTGGTTGAAGTCTTGGTCGAAGATTTAGTCGACGAGGTCTCAGAGCTAGAAGAAGAGGACGAAGAGGACGAAACGTAAACCTTGCCCAGGGCGTTGACCGATCCACTGGTAAGCAAAAAATTGTTTGCGGTATAGAAGTAAGCGTAACGGCCCACCTTGGGGTGGGAGTCCATCCACTCGATCGATTTCTCAAGGAAGGTCTCAGCCGTGGACTCGTTGGTGATGCCGTTGGTGTCGGTGTCAAGGGCAAATTCAGTAAGCCAGACCTCGTCAATATCATACTTCGAGGCAGCCTCGATAGCCTCCTTCATGTACGACTCGAGCTGAGCAAATGACCCACCGTACCAGTGGACAGCCATAGCGGAGATGTTGCAGCTCTTGCAATCGCTCATGAAGGTCTTGAACCAGCTGAGGCCCTCGCCGGACTGAGTGGAGGAAGTGATGGCCGGACTGACGAGCTTGACGCGATCTCCGTACGGGGTGATATACTTCTTGTACAAGGTAGCAGCCTTAGAGGCACCAATGTTGGCCTGCGATGCGTTGTCCGGTTCGTTGAAACCCAAGATATGTTTGCTGCCATCCTTCAATGCAGTCTTTACCGCAGAATCCCAGTCATCCACCGAGTCAGTGCCCCAGAGCATTGGCACGAATTCAACGCCCGATGGCATGTTCCCGTTCTTCTTCATGTCCCAATTGTATGACCACGACATACTTCCAGACTTGCTTTTCGCTAGGGTACGGACAAGCGACGCATCATTGTAGGCTGCACCACGCTTGCTGGAGGAGGCTGCGGCTGAGGCTGCCACCAGGGCAGCAGTGACGAGCTTTGAGATTGAGACCATATTGCTGTCAAGACGGATTGAGCTGGTAAAAATAAGGAATGTAATTGACGACACAGAAAAAAATGATATGTCTCGTCAAAGTAAAAGAGTAATTGAGGTGTGAAGGAATGACACTGTGCGCAGCACAGGATTAGGATGGCAATAATAGGGACACACGAGTAAGATGCAAATCACCCAGGGCAAAGGGCGGTTTTATGTAGGTACACTGCATGACGGGCAGCTCTCTGCAAATTCCTGAGACAGCCTTGCATCAACCAACAGCGAGCCAGCCAAGCCCGGTTTTAGTTCCTGGGACATATTAAGGATCAGATAGATTCCAAGGCCTGGCTTACGATAGGTTACAAGAGCTTGAACAGGAGCTCATGCAGCCAATGTAAAACAGCAGTCAATGGGGCCAAATGGTGCGAACAGGTATAATTGGGAACTCCTGTCTCATTCACAGCCCGGTCAGCTGGGTGATACTAAACCATGTTGGCACAGCTCGTTGGGGGCCATCTTTCATCGACATTCGATTTCGAGCTGATCGATGCCTTGCCCAAATGGGATTAGGGTGTGTATAAATCATGTGATGACTTGTGAAAGCCACGTGCCGAAAATGATGATCTCAGCAGCCGCTTAGTAAGGATGATAATAATTCACGTGAAATATATCTGGAAGCGGACCGAGAAAAAGAAGTGAAGGATCGGCGGGTCAAATCTGGTGGATCTCGGATGATGTCTATTCCATGATATGGCTCTGCAGAACGTGAATCTGGGATAACCCACTGCAATCCTGGCAGAGCATTAGGCGAGCCTCGAAAAGTCGATTAACTTTTCTCACCTACGAAAACATGATGTAGATGGCATGAATACAGGACGATCAAGTCTCACAGGCAAGCGGCCAATTCGACACGAAGGAGGCGCAGGCATGACTCGCTAAGTTCGCCATATCGAACGATCGTGGAAGACTGCTAATTCAGACTTCGGGAGAAAGTTTGATTCGGAGGTGGTTTCCGCATTGGTTGGCGGCGACAATAATGGCTGAGTCCACCGGGCCGAGTGCACGTTCCATTTCGAACCCATTCAGTCTCCTTGCAATTCCAAGTCTTCATCCAGAAATAGTATTCTTTCTCAACTGACAGTGTGCCCTGATTTCCTCCACTTTGAGCTTGAATTCAGTCAAGGATCCGTCGTGGATGGGGGCGAAGTGAGCAACGATAAGATAGACTTCTTTTTGCGAGGTATTGGATTTGGTCTTCGGGAGCGAAACCGAACAACCATGGCAGGATTTGACGCTTGCCCATCTCCCGAAGTGGGTCGGTAGGCAGCCAAATATCTAGACGACCGTTTATTGATTGGATTGACCACCTAAGGTTCTCGGCTAGTGCCGTACTCATACGCATGCACTTACGTGATGTTCTCCTATACCAAGAAGCCCTATCCCATTCAGGCTTCGCTTCCACGAATACAGAGCTCGGGAGCCCCGGTACGGAGTCAACACATTGAAATGGAAAGTTGGAAGTCTCGTCTCAAAGGAGAGTCTGCGTCGTGGCGAAAAGGCTTGACTTATATGTTCGGACCAGACTGGGTGGGGATACAGCAATGACTCCTATCTATACTGGCGATGGCTGCGTGGAGTATTCGCGGACCTCTGACGCGTCACCACCTATTCGTGGAATCAAGGGGATGAAAGCATAGACGGTTTTCTTGGCCGTGGGAGATTGGATCCAGGACTCCACAGGTGCGGCAGCATTTCTACAAAAGCCCTCTTGGTCGCGGAGGGTGATGAAGTTGTACCAAACTCCCACTCTCGTTAATAGTCAGGCATTGGTAGACCCAAGCTCAACTTTTGCTGCCCATTAGTCTTTCTTTCGTTTTGCAGTTTTGTTTATATACCACTACTCTCGTTTGTATTCGCCAATTATCTGATTTTGCAAAGCATATCGCCATGAGACTTTCCCATCTGGCTGCTGGTGCAGCCCTTTTCGCCAGCTCGGCGCTCGCCGTCGACCCCATCGAAATCAAGGTAAGATCCTGTCTTATGTCCTTCTCTTATAGTATTTTCAATGCTCATTCCCTCTAGGGTTCCAAGTTCTTCTACTCCAGCAATGACACTCAATTGTAAGTATTCATCCGAAGTACTTCCACAGTACGATCAAATTCTAACATGTTTCCAGCTTCCTTCGCGGTGTGGCGTATCAGAGTCGGTAGCCAACCTCCTGAAATAACGTTCAAAACTAATACTCCAAAACAGAGAGCACCACTGCCGACCCCTTGAGTTCCAAGACCACCTGCGAGCGTGACATCCCCTACATGAAGGAGCTCCGCACCAATGTCATTCGTACCTACGAAATTGACCCTACGGCCGACCACGATGAGTGCATGCAGCTTCTCGCTGATGCAGGCATCTACGTTATTGCTGATCTTTCCAACACTAGCGTTGCCATCGACCGCAGTGACCCTGCCTGGCAGCTCACCCTCTACAACCGCTACACCAGCGTCATCGACGCAATGGCCGGTTACAACAACACTCTCGGTTTCTTTGCTGGTAATGAAATCGCCAACAGTGTTGGAACCACTGACGCCATGCCTTACGTCAAGGCTGCCATCCGTGATATGAAGACCTACATCAGCGACAAAGGATACCGTACTATTGGTGTGGGATACGCTACCGCTGACGTTTCTTCCATCCGTAATGACCTGGCCGACTACATTAACTGCCAGTCGGAGTCCGTCGGCATTGACTTCTTCGGTTACAACATCTACTCCTGGTGTGGTGACTCGACCTACGCAGAATCCGGATACAAAGCCCGTACTGAGGAATTCGCCAACTACTCCGTTCCTGTCTTCTTCTCCGAGTACGGTTGCAACAGTGTGACTCCTCGTACCTTCACTGAAGTTGCGGCCCTCTATGGCGACACCATGTCCCAGGTCTGGTCTGGCGGTATCGTCTACGAGTACTTCCAGGACACCAACGACTATGGTACGTCCTCTCCTTTCTTCGCTACTTTCACATTTTCAATCTAACAATCTACAGGTCTGGTCTCCGTCATCGACAGCACCAGCGTCAGCACCATGACCGACTTCAGCTACTACTCCAAGGAAATCGCCAGCGCCACCCCCAGCAGCACCAACAAGGCCTCCTACACCCCCACCAACACTGCCCTCCGCAGCTGCCCTACCGAGGACTCCTCCTGGAGGGCCAAGGCCTCTCCCCTTCCCCCGACTCCCGACGCTGATCTCTGTGAGTGCATGGTCGACGCCGCCACCTGCACCGTCAAGGACTCCCTCGACTCCGACGACATCGGTGACCTGATGGGCGAGGTTTGCGGTATGACGTCCTGCAGCGGTATCACCGGCAACGGCACCACCGGCAAGTACGGCTCCTACAGCATGTGCAACAGCAAGCAGCAGCTCGTCTTCGTCCTGAACGAGTACTACGAGAAGCAGAAGTCCGCCGGTAACGCCGCCTCTGCTTGCAGCTGGGGTGGCTCCGCTACCACCAAGTCTGCTACCTCCGCCACCGGCTCTTGCAAGACTTACATGTCCGAGGCTGGTACCGCTGGCACGGGTGTCGTTACTTCTGACGCTACTGCCACTGCTGGATCGAGCGGTTCGACTGCCTCGTCTACTTCCAGCTCCAGCGTTTCCGGTGGTGCCAAGGCTGTCCACGTCGGTTACTTCCAGCTCGCTGCTTACGTGGCCGTTGCTGTTGCTAGCGGAATCGCTATGATTATGTTGTAGATGGATTGAATTAGAGAGCCCGCTGTTGTGTGGGGTCATTAGATCGCTTCTGCGTGTTCTTTTTCTCATCTGCTATTTTGTTTTCTGTTTCTGTTTTTGCTCTTGTTGATCGAGTCTGTACTTGACAATTGGACAATATTATCTTTATCCAGTATATATTTATCTTCTTATTACAATCAACTTGAACATAATGATATTAATTTTTCAAAAGGCACACATTAACTCAGACATTTCCACGTAATAACAAATGTCCCTCAAGTATCAAAGCAACTCTACATTACGGTTCACAACTAGACACTTTGGCCGAGTGGTTAAGGCAGGCATGCTACTACATCTCCGTACTAGCTGATTAGCCTGTGGGTTCGCCCGCCTAGGTTCGACTCCCAGAGGAGTCGCATCTCCTTTTTCCCAACTTATTTTTTTTTCCCTAGACCCACTTTAGGCAAACCATTGCTATCACAGTGGAGTTCATTTTTCTTGACCATGGTTAAGCATTTAAGCGTCAATCTATAATTTCATGGCGTACTGGAGGCCAATATATCGGATGGGGTTTCTTGGCGGTGTTCGTTTAGATTGACGAGGTGGAGCTGCGAGGGAGAAGAGTGCAAAAGGAGGTATGATCGTGGGTTTATATATACCCGTGGTAGCACCTTCTTTTTGGATGGTTCTCCTGAGGGAGGGGCATGTTCTATATTCGATAGCGGCGGGGATTTGGGGATGAATCAGATGTGGCGGATGGGTTATTGTATGACTAGGGAGGGAAGAGTTGGGTGGAGGGGGGGGTATGTGAGATAGCATCCGCCAGTATGCACCATTCAGCATCGGTTGTGGGCATCACTGCGGTTGAGAACTTCAATCGGTCGGCTTAACGCCAGATTCTCTATTCTATCTGATCGTCCTTCTCGCTCCATCCTAATCTCGCCTCTGTTCCCAGAATCTATGTCCACCGATAGTTTCCTTCTCATTTTATCTTCCACCGAAAGGCCATCGCAAAGACTCGTCATGTGAGGGACTGCAGGCAGGTGATGATAGCCTCATTAGTCGCGTTCGCGTAGTAACGATTCATTGTCCCAGTCTTTCCCTCCCCGTCACTCATGACGACACGATTCGGGCGCATAAAGATAGGACAAGGGTGTTGAAGGATCTGGCAGATCTATTGGCGGTTAGCAGTTGGTGTCTTCTGCAGGGCCAGGTACGAGGGACGCATAGGAAGGGGAACTTAGGGTGTACCCGTAAACAATTGTTCAGTAAACAAGCGAGACATTGCTGCACGCTTCTTCTATGCTGTTTGGCCACCCCGAGGAATGTCGGTGTGCACGGGCATGCTGCAACTTCCCCGCGGAATAATCAGGTGGGGGATACGCGCTGCGGTTTCCCTGTATATTGCAGGTTGGCGGGTAGTGTTGTTGGAATTAACTGAGTGTTGTGAGAAAATTTGGATATGGGTGGCCAGAGGTAGCTAGCATGGCTGATTGCGCCGAGGGAGAAGGGGAGAATGGTGCTGCAAGAATGATAGAACGCTGTAACAGTACTTGTTCTCTACTGGGAACTCCTCAAGGCCTCCGGGCAGAGCCAACGTAGATGGCAGAAAGTTGAGGTCATGGAAGCAGAGAGATGATGTAGACTGCGATGGTCGCTCGTTACAAGCTGTATTATGTTCTCGATGAAATGCGGGTTTGCTGCGACGTCTGCAGCCAGGCATTTTGTGTGGGCTACTAGCTTGAACAAC